CTACTACGTCCATTAAACCCCGGAGAGCCAGGAGGCCGGCTTCCCGCCAGACGACTGACGAAGACGAATTAGCGTGAAAAAAAAATCAAGGAAGAATAAATAATTTGCGTGAGAGAGAGAATGCGAGTTAAAAACCGTGTGCTGACTTTTTTAGAGTTGGTTTGTTTCACACAACGTGAGGAAAACACAAGAGACTTTTTTGCAGCAGCACCCACTTCAGTCAGCTGTGACTCTTTTAGGATTTGGGAAACACCTTCAAGTGACTGACGAGCACTCGAATAAAAGAAGAGTGAATAATAAAAAAAATAAAATAAAAAAAAAGAGAGACAGAAAAGGTGCCTGTTCCAGAATTTCAATATATCACTAATATTTGTCATTCGTAGCTTACTATCTCTCTGTGGATCAAAATATTTATGCTTGTGTTTGCATATACTTTAAGGATTTCTTTTGTTTAGTATCTATTTACTTCGTAGCCAAGCTGTCTGCATCCAGGAAAAGCTTTATAAATGATTTAAAAGGAGGTCATCCTTGATAGTCTATTTTCCTATATTTACTGTATATCAGAAACATTCTTTTAAAAGAAAAAAAAAGCATGCTTATTTTTGGTTTTGTTTTCATCTCAACGGTGATGGGGAATGACAGTATTTTAGTTGAACTAGTTGAACGTTTCTTGCAGTTAACTTAGCACAGGCCACCTGAATTGCAACAGGTGAACAGCAGGGGGCAGTCTTATCTCTGGAGCTTTAATGATCAAAGAAAGAAGTTGATGCTTTTGCTAAGGTTTATTTTACTTTTTCTGTGCTGACAGATTCCCTTCCATTTATCTGTGAGGTTTGATTTTCCTTTCCAAAAACGGTTAACTGAGTGATTTATTTATTTATTTATTTATTTTCCTCCATCGTGCAGAGAATGGCTTTAATTTAACGCGAGCTGGCGTAAAGGACTTTCCCGATGGAGCGAGCTTCATCGCTGCATAAATATGGCAATCCACAACCATCGTTACGAGTAGGAACTGAATGATAGGAATAAGATGCATTTCATTGTGATTAGGTTTCTGTTTCCAGAAAAAGAAAAAATAATTATTAAAAAAATACTGTAGATAACATATTTAATGAAAAAAACATGATTCATTTTTATAAATCAATACTCACTTTATTGTGTAAATATTATGAATTTATTCTATTTAAATGGGTCTTTGTTGTTGTTTTCTGCAGTTGAATTACAGCTCAAATGTTCCATTTAGTCAAAAAGAAAAAGAAAGGAAAAAAAAAATCTCAGCTTAAGAAGAAATAAAACACAATTCTCAACTTTGCTGACTATACTTTTGGGACTTTTCGCTCTCTCTCTCTGTCTCTTGTTTTGTTTTTTTTGTTTTTTTCCTTTTCTTTTTAATGGACTCTGAAAGCATCTACTTGCTGAAACTAAAGCACTTCCAGACACCACTGACTTTTGGGTCAATGTCTCACGCTCCTGAAACAACATAACCAGGATCCCTCCCCTTACTATCCAGGCATTGAAGTCAGGCATATTTTGTACAAAGTTTCTGTAAATTCTAATTGTAATATTTCATAATGACTGTACATATCTTGTGTAATAACTGTCAGCAATTATGAAGATGTATCTAAATTGAATTAAAACTCAGTTAAGTCTATCACTTCAACAGAGGAGCGCCACTGGTGGTGGTTTTATGTCCCTCCTGTGTGAATGTGAGGCTGATCGCTGGCGGGCTTGTGGCCGATTGAGCGTCTGAATGAGCGAGCGAACAACTGAACCCGACACGGGAACGGAACGGTGGAGGGATAAGCTGAGGAGTAAAGCTCTGCAGCTGGGTGCTAGTGGCTGGATAATGGATGGAGAGGCGGAGGAGCTGGAGCGAGAGGCTGCAGCGGTGGTCCGGCGCAGGCTGGGGGTCTGAGCAGGCCCGAGCTCAGCACCCGGCCTCAGGGGACATCAACGCAGAGAGCCGTGGCTGTGGAGGCACACTTTGGACTCAATTGAGGCCTTTGGCTGCGAGGGACCACAGTGCCTGCGACAAACAAAAAAAAAAAAAAAAGAGAGAAGGAAAAATAAAGCACAAGAAAGAAAGAAAACGCATCCATCCGAGGAGTGTGCTCGCTGCGCCAAAGTCTGAACCCATAAAAGGAGGCTGGTGAATATTTGATGGTGCAAAACACAGAATATTTAATATTTAAAAAGAGATTTTGTCCTAGCAGGAAATAATGTGCAGCTGCTGTTTGATTTCCAAAAGAAAAGAACACAATGAGATTCAAAAGAAGAGCCTTTTACAAAAAAACAAAACAAAAACAAAAAAAGCACGAGCCACACAGAAGTGACAGCTGAAGATTTAGAGTCATTTGGTTTCGAGAAGAGTTAGATGCAAGAAAATGAAACTAAATATGCAGAGGATTGTGATGGAGCGTTGCTCATGTTGGTTGTATGTGTGCAAGATGCCTCTGGGAATAAGTAGACAAAGTGCAACGGACCTTTGGAAGCAAACTGATGTATCAAGATGTGTAACCTTGTTCATTCATGCACCAGTAAAACATTTTCCAAAAACGCTCTGCACAGCCACATAACGGATGTATGACCTCAGCAGACAGATGGTTTGCACTAAATTGGCCTTTTCTTTCCTTTTTCCTCTTTTCAAAAGGGGCTTTAGTGTTGACATGTGAGAATAGGAGGGGAGGCAGATGCTTCCTGCTTTGTAGTCTTTCCATGTCACTGGCGTAATTAGCCATGCACAGACCTCTGCTCCGTGGAGCCACGTGTGTGAGTGCGTGTGTGTGCCTGTGTGTGGAGTCGCAGCTGAGCTCTGTGAAGTTGGCTAGCCGACCAAGCCAAAGCCAGCCAGCGCTGACTGGGATGGGTGAGAGGGCGAGTCTGACACAGTTGCGTCACGCCACTCCCCGGCCACGCACATATGTGATGGAAAAACACGTTGGGCTGACTGAGAGGGAGGGAGCTTTTTGTGTCATGTGGTGACAGACAGGAAAGTGTGATGTCTTTCATGATAAATACGAGATCATATTCTGCTTTGTGCTTTGGATTTCTAAATTTTGAGACCGTATAAGTCTGTCTGTGTCTGCTTGCTTCGAGCGACATCTGGATTTGACTTCTTCACCGCACATTTATTGAGATTTTAGCAATAAACAAGTGGTCGGGAATAAGTCAGGCATTTATCAGAGCGACTTGGCAGACAGGTTTGGAAAAGACAACTTGCGTCAACATGAGGAAATGGAAAGCTTCCTACATGCATGCCATCTGCGCAAGACGCAGCCCTGTTGGTGCCCTTCAGACTAACTACAATAAATGTTGTAGTTAGTCCAGCTTTTCATTCAGTTTCAACAACGTGCTCATGCTCACATTCCTCTCCGTTCAAATGACTTTAAGACTCTTTAAGAACAAATCAGACCAGTTAACATTCACACTGAAATGCAGGAGCTTCAAAGAATTCACTGTGATTTTATGAGACAAACCAACACAAAGTTGTGAATGTGTTGTTTCATCATTAGTGACCAGTAGCCTGATGTTTCTGTTGTTCTCTTGGTTCATTGTACTTCGTGTCAAATGGATTTCAGAATGACATAGTTGCTGACTTGACGCCTGACGCTGTGGGCCTTTTAGGGTTTGTCTCTACCAGAAACTACAATTTTTCCTCAATTTTTACAGCAAATTCTCAATTGGATAGAAATATTTAGTATATATTATCTTATGTTTGCAGTGTTTGTTGTGTGAAGTTGTTGTATTGTGCTGCCATTGTTCTGTGAGTTCATCAGTTCCTGCATCGTAGCAACAGAAGGAAAAATACAGGAACTGAACTCTGCACTACGTCAGCCAAAATCAAAATCAGCAGGTCAGGCTTTTTAAAGATCGGTAACCAGAAATCGGCCAGAAAACTGCAATCGGTGCAACCCAACGTAATATGGGATACATACACACATATTCATGACATTCTGTGATTAAATAAATTTCTCTTAAGCATAACTCCAATAGCTAAAAATTAAATTTATACCAGATGAATCTTTCTCAGCTGACTGGTACCGGAACCGGGTTGACTCTCAGTCTTCAAATGATTTTAACAGAAGTTTCACATGAAGTTGATGTAAAAATAATGTTTGTTTTAGCCACAACATGATTATGCTCAGCAGCAAACAACGTATCCCCAACTACAGCATCGACGTAGCAGCTATGTAGCCTGACGTAAAAACATTTGGCTGGACAATGCCAAGCAATGATTAGTTTTAATTATTTTATTTATTGTTATCAAACATTATCAAACAATTGAAGCCAAAAATACCTCAGAAATATACAGAGCCAGCCATGAGAATCAACTTATTTAAAGTTTAAACTCAGTTTCGCATAAATACAAATGGTGTAGCATAAACATTTGGCTGTTGAACTGGACTGTTCAAGCCGATTTTCTATTAGCAGGTTTACGAATCTTTTACATCACATTACCAAGGAGGGGTCTTTAGAGGCTTTGGGTTCCTTTGCAGCTGCTTAGTTTGCTTATGCCTCAGACCGGCCCTGTCTGTAACTTTATGCGAACCTTGACCTGTTTGCTCACTCTTAAACTTGTCCATTCAAATCTCCTGACGTCCAGCAGTTCAAGTTTTCTGATCTGACCTAATCAAGCAGATCATTTTGGGAAAATTCTCCTCGATCAGATGGCTTTTCCTGTAAAATCATCAGTTTTAATGGTTTAATGTGTCATGGGTTAATTTTCTCTCATTTTTAATACTCACTATTATGCTGAAGAAGACACGTAGCTTAAGTACTGATTCAACCCTAACCCTAATGTAAAGAATTTTGGTGAAAATCAGCTGAGTCTCTTCCGGACGCATTTTCTTTTTTCTCAGTTCAATTTTCTTGCCTCTCTCCTTTAATAACTCCAAAGTAAGGAATGCAAACACACCTGTCACTGCAAAGGGGCGGTCCTAGGAAAGGTATGTTGTCACTTGTTTCAACTCAGGCCTCACTCACTGACAGAGAACCACAGAGAGAGATGATGGCTCTGAAGCAAAGCCCTTCAACGTCTGTGGAAATGGAACTTTGGTGAGGAAAGGAAACAAAAGCAACGTCCGATCATGACGTGGAGGAACCCTCTGGCTCTGGTGAGGGATGCTCTGCAAGGTCAAAGGGCGCGGGAGAGGGAACTCCGCAGCTTGGTGTCCAATCTACCATACGAGGGACTGGAGAAGGTGAAGCAACCCAATCGCTTCTTCATTTCTAACGCCATCAAAACCACAAAGTACTCGCTGCTGCTATTCCTTCCCATGAACCTTTATGAGCAGTTTCACCGCTTGGCAAACCTCTACTTTGTGGGCCTAGCCATCTTGAACTTTATCCCCGTGGTGAACGCATTCCAGCCTGAGGTGGCCCTGATCCCCATCTGTGTCATCATGTTGCTGACGGCCCTGAAGGATGGCTGGGAGGACTTTAGGAAGTACCAGTCGGACAGGAAGGTCAACAACACTCCATGTTTTATTTATAGCAGGTACGTTCAGGGGGTTCTTGTGTTCTGAATGCTCATGCATGATGTGGCAGGTGTAAACCACATCAGCAGCACATCTGCTTCTGATTCTCTGCATGTCTACAGCTGTGTATTTCATCGCCTCTGTGTCTCAGCAAACCTTTGGGAATTTTCGACTTAAAAATAGAGAACGCGTGGGAGATTATACGACGATTCGCACCATCACAGTGAGCATGTTTGATGAAATCCTCATCTGAGTGTTACGTAAGCAGAGACAGTAAGGTTAGCTGTTTTCTATTTTTGAATGACTGATGAAAAGGAAAAAATTCACAAAGGATGATAGACTTTCTGACTCCCTTTTTTATGCTGTGAACTGGAGAGCACAAGAAGAGAAGGGTTCATCCGCTGAACGATTATAAACTAAGCCTGGAAATGTGTCTCCGTTGATTTTTTTTTTCTTGCAACATTGCTTCCTGGCAATAAGTCCTTTACTGTGCCTGGTCACACAATGTTGTTGACATCTCTCTGTTGTACAAGCATTTGTTTCAAGTCAGCATGATTGTGTTGGTCATGAGTGAACAGACCTCCTAAGATGTTTTCAGTGGGGAAATCCACAACAAAATTCTGGAGTTAGTCTCCAATGAACACTCACATCATGGAGGATAAAATATGGCCCTAAAAAGTGTGTTTGCAGGAAATCTAATCTCAACATGAAAAATCTTACACATACATTTTTCTTACAAATGTGTCACCATCTGGGGTGAAATAAATAGTCTTTCTTACATTAAAAAAGTTTCACTATCAAGAAATATTGATACGACAAAGAACAAAATGAACCAAAACTACATTTTCTTACTTTTTATGCTGGGTGCAGACAGCTAACACAAAGCTTTAAAAGCTTTAGAAAAAAGATTTTATCCACTTCATGCAGAGTTGACTCAACGGTTCCTTTGAGTTTACTGGAACTCCTAAACTTTCATTGTTGGATTGTGAAGAGCTGTACATGTATAAATGTTTCCTGAAGTAACTCAGGATTTTCTCATCCTTTCATGTATGACAAAGAGAAACTAGATCAGAAGTCATTCGTTTAGCTTAGTCATCTTTGACCGTGGATCCTCACGTGGAATGCAGTCAGACGATAGAAACTTGGCCCTAATTTCCATCTGTTTCCCATCAAGTCTTTTTTTTTTCTCATGGTTGTTAAAATAGTTTTAGATGAAGCGTGAAGTGTCTTATTCTATGGGCCATCAAATACTATTTTTTTCCCATCTGAAACACTTGTCAGTCAAGTGGTGCTTTGGCACAGGAGCTCTAAATAGTGCTGCTAAATGCTATAGCATAAAAACAGCATATTGGTTTTGTGCCAGTGCTTAAGCGCCTGCATATAGAGGACATTTATAATCATCGCCACCACCACCTTACAAGCATTTTGCTGTATTCAATGTTATTTGAAAGAGTACATTTGCACATAGACTGAAAGTAGCACCTAGAATTTGTTATATAAGATTTCACTTGATTTTCTTTCTTTAAAGACCGCCTTCATCCCTCCTCCCCACCCCACAAAAAAGAAAAACAGAAACATAAGTTCTTTTAGTTTTAAAATAATTTCTCAAGTTAAAGTTCATTCTGAAACTTCTACTGTTTTGATATATTAACTCACTTTGCAGAGAAACATTTCTTAAAATGTTTTTTTTCCCTCCCTCACACAAAATCATCCCATTGTCATCTGCTGACTCACCCAGATGTTGTCTTGTCTGCAGTCTGTGTAGAGTTGAGTTAATTTAACGTCAAGCTAAAGGCTTCAGACTTTGTGTTCAGATCATGTTTTTGTTTCTTAAGTAAGCAGACAAGCAACATGTCCCAAAATGCTGAGTTATTCATATGAAACGTGATTCATTATTACCTAACTCTGGGACTTGGATTACCTTTAGTGCTACTTAAAAGAAATCGTGGTTTAAAATATTCACAAGGTAAACAGAACAACTGATTAACTGTGATGAGCAAGCCACAGTTGAAGAGATAAATTGTGCAAGCAAAAATAATTTTGCCTCAAACATAACATACTTCTCGTGGTAATTTATTTACTCTGAAGTTGATCTGGAAATAACATCAAACCTACTTAACCATGTTCCAGTTGGAAAACCAGTGGGTCCTGCTATGAGCTGTGCGCTCTGGTGAGCTAATTATGTCAGCTCTACAAGCTAACTGCAAATTATCTTTTGTATTTTTTTAGGCCAGCACAATAACAGTTTTTGATATTATTTCTGAATGTCAAAATGGCGATGTGATGAACCAACAATTACCTCACTTCTTATTTATTTTCCTTCATTACAATGTCCTAATTGCTATTTGTAAGTTTTTAGAAACAGTAGCATCAAGTATAACAAAAGTCCACCCAAAGGATGTGTGTATTACCGCCATGCAGAATTTACATGGTGTTTGACATATAACCTCAGCACTAATTTAATTTATTTAAACACCAAAGAATCTCCGAAAGACATTGTGAAAAGATTTTATGTGACACAAATCATTTATCATCACAACTAACACTTGGATTTTTGTGGTTGGAGTAAGTGAAAACATCTACTTTCCCTGTTGGCATCCTTCATCCAAAATATAGCGACAATGAATTTTGTGTGTGCTGAGATAATGAGAAAAAGTAAAAAAAAAATAAAAAAAAATTGTGTTGGCTTCTGTTGATTTCCTCCTGCTATCAGAGCCTATTTAACATTTGTTCTTTGCTCAGTTTCCTGAACTCTTGAGTTTAGTGGCTTTTTTGCCTGCATCATAGGGTGGAGTTAAGCGTGTTGAAGAAAAAAATCTTCTCTAAAAGAAAAAAACATGAAAAGCACATTTGAAAGAACTTTAGATATTTGCAAAGCACTGAAGACAAAGTGGGAGCACAAGTAGTTCATATCTAAACTCTGACTGTCTGACGCACAAAAGACATTTTTGAAAGTACGATGACATATGCAAGATGTTGAATGCAACATCCTAAAAATACAGCAGACTGCCCTTCTGGCTTTGTTGGGAGTGAGGTGTGGTGTTGAGTAGTAACCAACTCATCAGGTTCTACATGCAGGGTAGCATGCTTTCAACGTTCTGCTACCGGTGCTCAGTCAGCTTGATATGCTGGTTTTTAACCATAATGCAAAACACTCCTTGAAATCTTGAACCTGTTCACAAAGTTCAGAACAGTTCATTCACGAAACATCCTTTCTTTCTGTTCTTCTCTCCTTCAAAAACACAGCAGATTTATTGGATGATCCAAAATGATCATTTCCTCTTTACATAGAAGTTAATGTTGCTTTGTTTTCATTGCCTGTTTATTTTTTTAAATTTTTTTTAAAGCAAATCAGGTTAGGAAATATTTTGAGCAAACTATACAGTCCCTCGTGTTTCTGACTATGCAAGTAGTACCATTGAACTTTCGTACAATTATTTATTTAATATCCACATGACTTTTGCTAAATTATCTTCTAAGAAGTAGTCTGATATGATTAGTCACCATCACTGTGCAGGTAATTAAGATGTCACCAGGTGAGGATTACATTCGTCAAATACGAAAAAAAAATTTACAAACTAAAAAGTGGGCTACATGCCCAAATTTCAAAGTTTTTTTTTTTTTTTTTGCTTGACAGTTATTTATTTTCAAAAGGCACTTTTAATTAGACAAACGAGAGTCATCAGGACTATATTCTAATTTATCAAACACAACTTTGACTTCCCTGACTACAGGAGGGAGAAGCAATATGTGGAGAGACGCTGGAAGGATGTGCGAGTGGGAGACTTTGTGCGGGTTGTTTCCAACGAGATCGTCCCAGCAGACCTGCTCCTCCTCTATACATCTGACCCTAACGGTGTTTGCCACATAGAGACGGCCAGCCTGGATGGGGAAACCAACCTGAAGCAGAGGACAGTTGTTTCTGGATTTTGGGCAGCGGTGAGAAGGATTGCTGACTCATTTAGACATGACTTTCAGTTCCTGCTTCTCCAGCTAAATGCCAAAGAGGAAAATAAAAGTAAAAAAACATACCTGTCAGTCCATACACATTAGAGCGTATACTTGTATCGCAGGCAGAAGGATGCCGTTATAATTGTGTTGTAGTTCAAGTTTAGGCGAAGCTGAAAATAAAAGGTGTATATTCATGCAGAAATGTGATTGTATTGTATTTTATTCTCCAGAATCTTGGATTTGAGCCGGAGAGCTTCAATTCGGTTGTGGTGTGCGAAAGGCCCAACAACAATCTGAATCATTTCAAGTGTTTTGTGTGAGTATAGAAATGCACATTTGGCATAGATTTTCAAAAGAAGCTATTCTTCAGAACCCCACCAAGAAGCCTGAAAACTAATTCCGACCCACTCACTGGACTTCTCAATAATAGCCGACACATCATTGGGGCTGTAATAGACCATAATCGATTTTTCCGGGCACCGCAGCTCCTACAGGCGGTCAGCTCTGGCTGTTCATTTACAGACATAAAGCAGGAGAGCTCTAATGGGGAATATGTCAGCAATAATGAATATCTAACAAGGTCTGACAGTAAAAACGATTGTCACTTTCCCTCGCTGCAGAGAGAAACCTGATAAAGAAAAGGTGGGCGCCAGCATTGAGAGTTTGCTGCTGCGAGGCTGCACAGTGAGAAACACAAATCATGCTGTTGGCTTTGTGGTGTATGCAGGTAATTTCACAACTTGCTGATTGCCTTAGCCTTCAACTTTCCAACAGGAGAAAATATGCATGTTTGGTTTGTGCCTTGACTTCACTGAGATTCAGTTTATTTAATCAGTGTGTTAAGCTTTGCTAAATCGGCTGATATACATTTTATGCTTGTTGCTAAAACAAGGACGAAGCCTAAATTGCCAGAACAAATACAAAATTATTTAAATATTTTGATTCAAATTCTAAACAGGAAGGCAAATTTATCAGGACAATATATTTAATGAAAGCCGTGAATGCAATGTTGTTGTTTTTTCTTTCTCATTTTTATTTTTATTTTTTATCTAAAAAGCTTGCTTATTTTTACCTCTGTACTAATATCAGTCTGAAGATATGACAAGGCTTTTCATCAGTGTTTGAATGATTGCCTTCTTCTGAAACTTTCAAGGCCATGAAACCAAGTCCATGCTCAACAGCAATGGGTCGAGATACAAGCGAAGCAAACTGGAGCGGAAGCTAAATGTCGACGTCTTCTTCTGCCTCATTCTCCTCTTCACCATGTGCCTCATCGGAGCTCTTGGTAATGAACCACATCTCTCGAATGCAAAGTCGCTGTGTGACATTAGATTCTTGATTTAAACCGTGCTCAATTTGATCACATGCCTAAACTCATTCTTCACAAAGAGAGAGAAAGCAGGAGGGATGTGATGAGGAATCCAGGTTTCCTGTCTGTTTGATGATCAGAGCAAGTAATTTGAGCTGTTTTTATCCATACAGGTCACTACCTGTGGTTGGAGTCACTGCCAGGTGTGCCCTCTTTCTTGGTTCCTGACAGCAACGGTCACCTGGATGCCCCCAGTCTTGAGAGTTTCTACATGTTCTTCACGATGGTCATCCTTCTTCAGGTGTCAGACAGACATCCCTCAAACACGTTGTTCCAACTCAGTTTAAATTCATTAAGCTAACTCTTTAGTTCTTGTCCTCTTTGTTTTTTTTCTCCCCCCCCCTTTGTCCTCTCTGCATTATTTTCCACCACCTCCGCTGGACTCATCGTTCCTCCCAGATCCTGGTTCCCATTTCTCTCTATGTGTCTGTTGAACTGGTAAAAGTGGGTCAGATCTTCTTCATCACTAATGACATCGATCTGTACGATGAGGAGACAGACAGTCGGGTCCAGTGTCGGGCTCTGAACATCACGGAGGACCTCGGACAGATTGAATACATCTTCTCAGACAAGACGGGCACCCTCACGGAGAACAAGATGGTGTTCCGACGGTGCTCCGTCATGGGAACTGAGTATCCACACAAAGAAAACGGTGAGGAGATATTTAAGAAACCAAGATGACGCTCCTTGCTCGGCTTTTCACGGACAATTCTTCAGGAAGATAATTTTAAAGTTTATGAGAGTTCTAAATGGTCGCATGATGAAGGAAAAGTTCAGTAAAGAATTTCGCAAAGCACATCAAAATGTTATTTTTTATGTCTCTACTATGACTAAATTCAGTTCAAGGCTAATTTGACAATATCTCTGATGCCTCCCAGCTATCCGCCTTGATGTCATTGATGAGCTTGAGTCTGAGGAGGAGGTTATCTTCAACCAGCACCAACAACTCCCACGAACCAGGTGGTCCTTGGAAGCCGAGGGCATCAGCCCGGCAGACACACAACGGCATGACAGAAGGCGCAAAAGCAAGGTGTCAGCGACTGCACACAGTGATGCGGCGTTCAGCAGTCCACTGGTATGAAGACCACATGCTCGTTCTGAAACTATAGGACGTGTGACTGGCATGACATTACGTCAAATGTCACATTGGACTATGACATCTCATCAACTTTTCAACCTCGTTTGTGCATTTTAAAATTCACAAATTTTTAATCAGCAAGAATATATATCAAACTTTTACAGCGTTTTACAGAAAACCTCATAGTGTCAATCTGTTTACCCAAATCTGACTCATCCCTGAGTCAAAGGCCTTCATGGTCACTGTCCCTGCCGCAGATGGTCAAGCTTCTCGGAGTCAGCGATTGCTCAGCTTTGCCCCTGTGTCTGTGACAGGACATATGGTCACACTGAGTACCATTTGGCACAGACTACCAATGTTACATCAACTCTAAATGTGCACTATAGATTAGTCATCGCTGTTTAGACGTACAGTATAGTTTTTCTGTATCTATTTTTATCTACAGAGCAAAGGGGAGGAGATACAGAGACAGAAAAAACGCAGCATGGATCCCATTTTTACTCCTCCTCATGCTGCATCTCCAGCAGAGTAGAATGCCTGTATGAATAAAAATATAATAATGCTGCTTTCCTCTTCTCAGCCTTCTCAGCCTTTTATGCCTTCCTTATCCTTGGTCAAACACAACTGAGTGTGAAGTTTCAATGAGAAAAACTTTCTCCGAGTCCATTACGTCAGCTGTGGGAGTTCTTAACGTAACTGAGACATGGTTTATCAACACTCAGGCAGTATTTAATTAACAAACTGATTAACTTTTGCTCCTCCAGGAAACTGAGGTGATTCCAGACCAGAAGCTGGTTCAGCAGATTAGCAGAGCAGAGAGCAGCGGTGGCCGCAGAGACGGCAACCGAAATTTTGATCCTCACCTGGACTTCTTCCTGGCTCTTGCCATTTGCAACACCGTTGTTGTTTCAATGGAAAATGCTCACAGACGGAGGGTGAGTTTACTGCAGCTAACCCGAAAAACCATGAATTCATCTTTGTTTTTAAAAAAATCAGTATCTTGTAATTCCAAGAAAAGAACTGAAATCTGGCAATTCTACTGTGTCGTCATACAGAAAACAGAAGAAACAGCTCTTTGCATAAGCATGACAGTTTTCTCAGTCACTTTGGTTCTCCTGACCTACTTGTTCAGGTCATTCTGTCACTTCTGCACATCAAAAAAGCTATTTCACATTTCTGTGAAGCAAGCGATTATGTACAACGCTCTGCTTTGTACTACAATTTAAATTGCTTTTGTCACGTTGATTCAAATATATTATATGCATCTTTGCTGAATTGAATTGTCTCGACCACCACAACATTTGAGAATAAGTTCGTCATATAAGTTTTAACATTCAAAATATTGTCATATTATGTCAAGCATATTGACACACAGACTGCCTCATGTTCCCATTTCTACTATTGCTTTTCATTTTTCTTGGATCTCTGTGTTGCTGTCTTCTCCTTCACAGTGACATGGTCTATCAACAAATTACAGTGCTAACAGTAAAGGTGTAAATCTGAGTCTTGCCATTATCCCAATTCTACTGTGTCGTCATACAGTGTCTTTACAAATTACAGTACTTGTCATACTGTAATTTGTACTTGTTTCAACAAACACAAATTACAAAACTAAGCTTTAACATTAGTTTACAGTAGAACATCCATGTGTTATGTTAACAGCACGACTAAACAGTTTGACTATCTTATCCATAAACAATGAAATAAGGACTTGAAATTCTGATGGACCTGACACAAATATTTACTTTTCAGGGACGAACAAAGGATTTTAAGAAAGTGAGGAATTCTGGTTCCAGAAATGCACCAAAGTGACTGAGAAAAACTCTTAAACCTTTCCACGTGTCATATTACATCCACAAACTTCAACGTATTTTATTGATTATTTATGTGATGGATCAAAAAAAAAAGTGAAAAGTGCAGAGAAAATAGTAGGCCTACATTGGTTTTAATTTGTTTTTTTGTTTTGTTTTTTTATAATGGAAATGTCTTGTGCATTTATGTGCAGTTCACTTATTGCTGATATCCTTAAATTATGTCCAGTGAAGTTAATTTCCCTCAAAAGTCAACAAAATAATAAATTAAGTACACTGCTGTATAATGTAATTTTGGTACGAATATAGCAGGCAATAAAGATATCAGGGGTTATTTAGAGAAAATTAGCAAACAAAAAGTATCATAGAGAGCAGACAGGTCAGAAATAATGTTGAAGAGATGTTTAAGGCAGAGCTAGTTATAAAATTATATCTGAACATTTGAATATATCTCTGACTGTGTAATCCATTGTAGCTGTGGAGGAAATCCATTACTCAGGTCAAATAATCTTCTAACATGACAAGCACTAGAGACGCACTCCACACATATGCCTCTGATGGAAGAGTGGCAAAGAAAAAGCCATTCTAGGAGAAAAGCCATATAAGACCTATTTCCACTTTACCACAAGCCATAGAGGAGAGAGCAAAGATGAAGAGGGAGTTGCTCTGGTCGGATGAGAACAAAACTCAAGTTCCTGGCAAACCCAGAAATGTTCACAGACATTGTTCATCTTATGAACACAAATAATTTACAGGGGTGACTGTCATGAAAGGTGGTTCTCCTGTGTCTTGACTGTCAGACATTGGATAAAAATGCATACCATGCTTTTTATTTTTTTTTTATTTGGAAACAGTTTTGAAAATCGTATTTGCTACTTTGTGTCAGCAATAAAATACAAACACCAAAGTACATTAGAAAGGCAGTGAGTTTTTCATCCCCTAAATTGGAAATATATATATATATATATTTATAAATGTGCTTCATTTGTTTGGCTCATAATAAAATATGTCTTTTACTTTATAGCATTATAACTTTTTGCGCTACTGTTACATTGATTCAGGAGTCCACGTCTCCACACTCCAGCAGCCAGACGAACAACCCTTTGGAAACCTTTTCAAATTTGGTGAAAAAAGCCGGGGCTTTCTTCCAGCGCAGCAAGAGGAAACGTACTCACTCAGAAGACCCAGTCATGGACTCTGCAAAAACGGAGAACGAGGCAGACACAAACGGACTCCGGACTTGTTCTCTCCATCCTCCGTCTCAAAATGGCAACACCATAGTAGAGGCAGAGGAGCTGTGCTATGAGGCGGAGAGCCCCGATGAGGCCGCCTTGGTGTACGCAGCCAGAGCATATGGCTTCATCCTGCTGGCACGGACCCCTGACAGTGTGACTGTGAGGCTCCCATCTGGGAAGGACCTGGTGTTTGAGGTGCTGGACACCTTGACCTTTGACTCCAACAGAAAGAGGATGTCTGTTTTGGTGAGACATCCAGTCACCAAAGACTATGTGCTGTACACTAAAGGTGCAGACTACTCCATTATGGAGCTACTTGGAACACCTTATGCAGGTACATGCTGGGCAAAAATATACATTTCCAGATGCATTGCGGTCATGCTTAATAAATCGAGCTTGTTTGAGTAAACATTTCTGATTCTGCTTCTAGAAAACTTCAGTGGTATTGAGAAAAATATAGCAGCTGACACTCAATACCACCTTGACTGCTATGCAAAGGAGGGCCTCCGCACACTTTGCATTACAAAGAAAGTATGAAATCCTTAGCAATTCACACCAGCATCATTTATCAGACAGTACAGGAACTTGTTTTTATAGTTTCTCTTCATCTGTGACAGGTTGTGAGTGAGAGCACGTATCAAAGCTGGTTAGGTGAGAGAAAAAGGGCGCAGGCTGCTATGGAGTGCAGAGAGGAGCTCATCATGAGAACCGCTGTGCAGCTGGAGACAAACCTCACTCTGCTAGGTAACACCCATCAGCCCCACAATTCCCAGCACTAGAGAGGCACATCCTCATGATGAGATCATTGTGTGAATGATGCCTGTCTCGGGATATTTGTCCTCCTACAGGGGCGACGGGCATTGAGGACCGTCTGCAGGAGAACGTCCCAGACAGCATTGTGGCTCTGCGGGAGGCAGGGATCCATGTGTGGGTGCTGACAGGTGACAAGCCAGAGACGGCTGTCAACATCGGCTATGCCTGCAGGCTACTGGAGGAGGAAGACCTGGTGATTAACATGAGCTGCAAAAACAAGGTGAGGAGGCAGCAGCTGCTTCACTGAATGTTGCCTGTTTCAGCGTGGCACCGTTATTTATAAAAAAAAAATCATAACTTTATAGTAAGGGTATAAAAATACTTAACACAACCTGTTGATGACAGTTGAATCAGAGATAGATAGATAGATAGATAGATAGATAGATAGATAGATAGATAGATAGATAGATAGATATAGATAGAGATAGATAGATAGATAGATAGATAGATAGATAGATAGATAGATAGATAGATAGATAGATAGATAGATAGATAGATAGATAGATAGATAGATAGATAGATAGATAGATAGATAGATAGATAGATAGATAGATAGATAGATAGATAGATAGATAGATAGATAGATAGATAGATAGATAGATAGATAGATAGATAGATCGATCGATCGATCGATCGATCGATCGATCGATCGATCTGAACAAGTGAAAGTCTAGCTCTCTGTCAAAAACGTCAAAATAAGCAGCTAACATTTTCCTCATAAAAACTTCTACGTCTCGTGCACAAATGCTGAAAACTGCTGTCTTTGCGTCTTCCCTCAGGACCAGTTTCCACACTGAAAAGTGTTTCTCTCATTGTTTATTCCCTGAAAAAGAGTTTTCAGCTGGTTGGTCAAACAGAAAATCTTAGAATTTGGTTACAAGATGATTTCTTGATCCATCCCTGTTAATTAATAAACAAAAGTTTTATATTGTGATTTTGTTTTGTTTTTGCCCAGGTCTGCATTCGCTGTAGAACAGTAGGACTTTTTTTTTTCGGTTTGTGTATTTTAGGTTGTGAATAGAAGGTCACACATGTAATTCACTAAAACAGAAATGTGGTGATATTTTGTAATATTTGCCTCGATGTACATGTAAGTGATAAAATAGTCAGATGTGACTGGCAGGTGACTTTGATGATTGTTTGCCATCCCCTGACAGAGGAGCTCCCTGAGTGCAGAGTCACAATTCCTCACATAATAAAAAACAGACTTAGTGGCCTGGTGTGACGTTTTTCTATTCCTCATACAATCACGTTGTTTTTCATTTAAAGTGTTTGTCGCATATTGACAAAAGGGAGCTCTGTTCGTATTTTTTTATTGTACGTCAAAAATCCCTTAATTAACCTAGAATAATAAATAAATACAAAACAGAACAGGGTTTTGAAGTTGCATTTCAGGTTTATCATTTCTGCTAAAGAAAACCTCCACGATGTCATTTCCTGATGTTTGCTTTGCGTTACTGTTGAGTGCAGCTGCTGTGTTCAGCTGCTGTGAGACTTCAGCCTCGGCTGCCTCTCGCCGCCCACATTAATGCATAGAAAATTGACTTTAGGACCTTAATTAGGTGTGGACTTTTCCCAATTATGCCCAACAAATTCAATCATGCTCAGATGAAACCTCTCAAGAAGCATTTCTCATGCCAGGTAGAATTAGATCCCATTTTGTATCAAGAAGCTTTCCAGATTTGTGACGAGAATATTTCAACATTAATTCCCACAAGGCTAACTCTTATGTTAGTGTATAAATGGTCAAAAATACACTAACAATGTGGAACTTGCTGATTATTTTTTATCACATTTAATGGTGACTGTCAAAAAAAGTGAGTCATGCTTATGTTTCACATTATATCTTATGCTCACATAATGTCATAATGAATGATGACTTCCAGCAGTATAATAAAATATTTGACCAACACAATAATTTTTTTAATAGTTTCAGTTATCCAAAGCTAAATAGATTTAAAAACTGGTCACATTTTGTATGAATTCACACATATCTTGTTTGTAATAATGTTTTAGATGTTTCTTATTAGGATTTTCTGAGGTGGTACTTCAAGAAGTTTTCTGCCTCCGACTTAAACGTCTCTATTCATTTGACCCCTTCTACATTTAAACTAAAATCTAAACCCTTACTTTCCACTTGAGCGTGATAAGGTGCACGGTGTGGGGGCCTTCCTCGCTCAGGTCATTAAAATGTGGTTGCACAGGAACAAACCTTTCATAATGACTTGACCATGTCTTCTCCTTCTGGCCCTGGATGGATAAAAAATTACTTGGCAGCTCTGAGGGATACACGTGGATCTGTCTGAAATAAGTGGGGCTGCGGTGTGTCCCTAGGAGGCACCAGTGACTGATGGACTGAGTGGACTGAGATACCCCCAACACCATAACTAATGCTTTCATATCTAATTACCAGTCTAATATTCAACCCTCTCAGGAAATACACTTTAATGAACATTTTTTTTCTTACAACCGCAACTCAGTGACCACTGGAGAGACGACCTCCCACATCCACCTTCCCACCAACACTAATGAACTTCACTGAGAACTATAATCTGTTTTTTTTAAAACTAAAAAGTGGAGTAGTCATCATGACAACCTTCTTTTGGCTACGTCTGGAGCTATTCAGACACAATAATGATGAATCTAATGAGACCAGCGCCTGACTCAGCACGTACAGTAATCTGTGTCCTGTTAAAGAGCAGATTTCTACTGTGTCATTTCTATTTATTTTCTGGGCCTTTTTGAAAAACATTACTTGGTTCATTAGCCAAACATATTCTTGTTTTATTGTAAAAAAAAAATGCATCTCATCTTTAGCTAAATTTCAAGTCATTAGCAGCTTCTGTTTTTTTCCAGGTTACGTGCACGTCCATCCTGGACTGCACTCTGGAGGAGGTGAGGAGGTACAGAGACGACCCTCGCAACGCTGGCACCACCCAGAACATTTCTCTGGTGATTGACGGAAACACTCTAGACATGGCTATGAAGCCTGACCTGCGGGAACGGTTCGTAGAACTGACGAAACACTGCCGCTCGGTTCTCTGCTGCAGAGTAACGCCCCTGCAAAAGAGCGCAGTGGTGAAACTGGTCAGGGACAAGCTCAAAGTCATGACACTAGCTGTTGGTAAGTTAAAGTGGAATAGAAATTGTGTTTGTTTTGAGTCATCTAGTTTCAAGATTAATCCGGAATCATTTAGTGGTTTGTCTTCAACTGGTCCGATGTCAAATCTAGGAAAACCACTGCTATTTCCAAAACTGGTTGATAAAAATATTGCAGGAAAAACTTGATTTACAAATGTGCCACTGATAAAATTTTCTCATAACTCAGAGAACAGAAAATGATCTTCTACTATGGCAGCAACCTCTACCTTTTATACTTTTCTTGATCGTGTTGAATTTTAAGGTTACACATCAATTATACTTAATTTCTTACAATAATGTTGCTTGCAAAATGAACCAATTATATTTGACTTTTCTCTCTGGAGTTACAAAAGTGTGTGTGGAACCAGACACAACCTATAGACCAGCAGTTGACCTGATACACTCATTTATTAGCTGTTCTCATACAACACCTAATCTTGAGTGATCTGTGTTTATTGATCAATAAAAAAAAAAAAGAGACAAAAAATTTTAACAGTGACCACATTAGTAATAATGCTTCAAACCTTTTTCACAGGTGACGGTGCAAATGATGTCAACATGATCCAAGCGGCTGACATTGGCATTGGGATATCCGGTCAGGAGGGCATGCAGGTGGGAGTCGACTTCACTGTTAGTAAAGACATTTACGTCCATCCTGCGCCCAAACTGAATCACAGTGTGATGCGTGTTGGTCTTTTCAGGCGGTCATGGCGAGCGACTTTGCCATATCACGCTTCAAGCATCTGAGAAAGCTTATCCTCGTCCATGGACACTGGTGCTACACTCGATTGGCCAACATGATTATTTATTTTTTCTATAAGAATGTGGTGAGTATTGCATCCCACTCAGAGTGCTCTGCTGTAGGAATGATCTGTGTGTTCTGTTATAAAAAAATAAAAATAATAATAACTGTGCCTTTTAACACGCTCCTCAGGCCTATGTGAACTTGCTGTTCTGGTATCAGTTCTTCTGTGGATTCACTGCCACAACAATGATCGACTATTGGCTGATGATCTTCTTCAACCTGTTCTTCACCTCTACTCCACCCATCATGTTTGGCATCTTTGACAAAGATGTTTCAGTGGAGGTGCTGCTAGGAGTTCCTGAACTGTACCGGACCGGTCAGGGAAAAGGGGTTGGTGAAGGAAATCAATCGAAAGTAACAATTTTAGTTATTGATTTTACTTCTGGATGTAAATATGTGTCATTTTTTGATGTAGAAATACAATTTCCTAACTTTCTGGATTTCCATATTGGACGCCTTCTATCAAAGTCTGATCTGCTTCTTCATTCCATATTTGGTAGGAAACACATTTATAAGTCTTTCATTATAAGTGACAGTAATTCATCTATTAGTCATTCCGCCAAACATTTGACTACCATGTTTTATTCTCCCTTTAGGCGTACCAGGATTCAGACGTTGATCTTTTCACCTTTGGAATGCCACTCAACACGGCTGCTTTATTTACTATCCTGCTGCACCTCGCCATCGAAATCAAATCATGGGTGAGTGCTGAACTGATATTTATATGTCGCTCCACTGGACCAATCAGTCAATGTTTTAACTAAAAATGATCAAATTGAATATTCTCCTAAACTTCAATAAAAACCTGCTACCAAATGTTTGATGTAACTGACATTTGTTCAGATTGTTTGTCCGTGTAATTATATTGTGTGTTTTTTGTTTGTTTGTTCTTTTTTTAGTTCAAAGTAAAATTTCCAATTATATTTCCAATTATTTTTTTCAAACAGCAGCAAAGAACGCTGGTTTTTAGTTGATTGGTAATGATCCTAGTTAATTACCAGCTAGAATTGGTATTGCAGAACAACAGGCTTCTTCAGGAAGTTAGAAAAGCAGCTTTTTAAACCTTGATGAGTGACTGCTTCAAAAAGTTGGAACATTTTTAATTTTTTTCAAAACTTGAAATTACTAGTTATTTCCAACTATAGTATCTATTTCAGCACATAAATATTTTTAACTCTGTTTTTTTAGTGTTGATCATTATGACATGTTCTGTTGGAATGACTGAGTCTTCAATCAGAAAACCAATAGGAATGTCAGCGTAAGTCAGTATTTAGACTGTGATTGTTGAATGGCTGTCACACATTTAAAACACAGTGAACATTTAAAGTATTAACTACTTACTACCACCGTTGACAGTTGTTTCTCATCAAGCCAGAGAAAAATTTTGTAAAACCTCTAGCTCCGCTACCAAACAGCTCATTCTATCTTATTGTGATGCTTATTTTCACTTTAACACACATCTCTGTCAAAATGTCAGAACATCTTCCTATGGTTGTGTGTAACTCAGTTTTATGTACCGCTCCAGTGAAGATCTTCACTACAGCCACCTACCAGGGGAATGTCTTCCCTTAATTCTGGCTGATCCAAACCATTTCAGAAAACCATTTTTAACTTAATAACTATCTGACGGTACATGAAATTATTTGCATAAAAACAGCACTAACCAGACAATGCTAATGTCAGCATAGGTAATCGTTTTGCTTTTGATTGTGTGGTAGACGTTGGTCCATTGGGTTATCATGGTGGGCAGTGTGGCGCTGTACTTCATTGTGACGCTGGCCTACACCGCCACCTGTGTTACCTGTAATCCTCCATCCAATCCTTACTGGATCCTCCAGAGCCAGATGGCCGACCCCATGTTCTACCTTATCGTCACCCTCTGCACCGTGGTGGCTCTGCTGCCCAGGTACAGTCCTCCTCTCTGCATCTGCCACTCTGGGATTTATTGCACTCATTTATTTTTCACAACACTTTCTGTTGAAAATGATACACTTATTCGTATATTGATAAAGCATTAAATTTTTTAAAAGTATTGTCCAAATCTGTCTTTCATCCTGAAACAAAATGGCAAAAGAAACTGTCTGATAATGTTTAAAAATTTGAAAAAAGAAAAAAGGAATTAAAAATGTTTATAAACATTGCATTTTTTTTCTAGTTTTCTATTTTTGATTCCAGGTGTAATAAAAATTCTTACTTATCAAAAGAAAAAATGAACAAACATCAAAGAATATCCTACAGAGAGGAACAATTACACATTAAAGATGTCAGAATTTGTCATCTTGCAAAATGGCTGGAGACTGATAAATTGCAGTGAAAGCTATAAAGGCATTGTCCTACTTTTTTTTTTTAAAGGGATACAAATTTTTCATTTCAGTTTGAACAAGAAAAATTATTGTGTGAGCTGAATGTCAATAATTTACCCCTAACTGGATCTTAACTTCATATAATTATTCATTTCACTGTATTAGTCATTTGGCACAACAAATGGGAATCAAAGAAATAGAAAGGATTATAGCTTGATATATATATATATATATATATATATATATATATATATATATAATATATATATATATATATATTATATATATACATACATACATACATACATATGTAGGTTAGTATGTTTTCAACATGTAAATCAGATCATACCCATTTTATTATTCTGCATTCCTTTTCGACTTATTCAGCTCAATAACAGTGATGAATCTGCAACGACATTTGCAGATTTGTAAAAGCATCGTGTTCATATTGACGGTGAGGATCCGCTCCAGTCGTCTTCCTCCCTCCTCTGAAAGTGCTGACTTTTTTTTTTTATATATATATATATAGAGAGAGAGCGCTCTGATTTACATCAAAAGCCTATATGTTTTTTCACTGGCCTACTTTCTCATCGCCGCGCTCTTTCCCCTCAGGTACACGTTTCATGTGCTGAAGAACTCTGTCGCCCCCTCCCCGCTCCTGCAAGGCAGGCGGCTGGACCGGATGGGCCCCTCCACGCGGGACCAGTGGATCAAGGAGTGGAGGGGCTTCAGGGGCGGAGCGGCGCCGGCCAAACGCTACGAGCTTTCCGACCCGCCCTCTCCCGCCCCGGAGAGCCCCGTGGACTTCTTGCCCGAGTTTCTCGCCGACTCTGACTTCACGGGGGACGATCTGAGCCTGAACGTCATCACAGAGAGCCGTCAGGGGGCCGTGCGCACGTGAGGCACGGAGGCAAACCGCGCGGCGAGGCGAGAAGCGCCGCGACGATCATTTTATTCGGGAAACTGTAAATGTCTTCACTGGCAACACGTGCGACTCTCGGAATGTGATTAATCCTGCAATAAACTGCCTCAGTAAAGCGCGCACGGACCTGCCCTCCTCCTCTCGTCATCAGAGAGCGATGCATAAAGCCTGTGACGATCACGGTGGGATTTCAGGAGGCGGTGCTAACCCAGTTAGTGGCCGCCGCCCACCTTTACAAAGACGCACCTTTGTCCAATGTCTCCAATATTACCTTCTCACCTGTTTCAGCCCAAACAAACAAAGCGATCGTGCACACGTGTGCGTCTGCTGACGGCGCGTCTTCATTAAAACAAGAACACAAAAAATAAATAAATAAAAAAATCAAATGAAAACGAATCAGGCGGAAAATTGGTTTCTGCGCTTGCAAATCCTGGAGCTTTTTATGGAAATGGAGTGTGCGCAAGCACATCCACTCGCAAAAAGGGCTGAGTTATCATGGGCATACTTCATTATACAGCAGCGGCTCCGCTTATATAACGCGCTGCGGCCCGCGGTTAGATCCCTGCTGCCCTCTAGCGGTGAACGCGAGGGGCTGTGAGAAGGTCACACGGGACACAGGGAGGCAGGGACTCAGACTGCTTGGATTTGGATTCACCACAAGAGAGCTGTGGAACTGTGTTCCTAAGAACAACAATAAGAAACATAATCACCAGTTTCATAGAAGACTTGAGATACCTGCTTATGAACACCACAAAGGGCATGATGATGCCATATCCGACTACAGGTAGCGTGAGTCTGCTCTGCTTGTTTTTCTGGAAAATCCTGCATCCCGGTACTCACTTTGATACTCGGATGTGTTTACACACAATAAATTGCAACAGCATTGTTCCCTCAGCAATATGGCTGCACTGAAATATAATCAAACTGAATGAGGTCTGCTCAAGTTTAAGACCATCATGAGGCCCCTGCTGCCCTGTAATTACCTAAATTGAGGGTGTGCAACATGGTAAAAAAAAAAGGTATTTTAACAGTTTTTAGTGTAAAAGCCCAATCATTTCATCAAATGCTTGCTATGAGATCACATACTTCCAAACTAAGAACATAATCAGCAAAAAGGCAAAGAACATTTCTCTATGAATCTGGTTCCTAATTTAGCCCACTTGTGTCAAAAATAACTAAGATGTGATGCATGCATGGACAAATTTTAGACTGGAAGCACAAATCCGTCTTGCTCTACCACAGAAACATGTTTTATTTAATGATTTAAAAAAAAAACTCCAACTGAAATTTACTCTTGCTGAATAAAAGCTGGTTTATGAAGCTAAGGAAAAGGAGGTAAAAGAAACTGACTAGGTTTAACAGGACAGAACGAAGATTATTATTCCTTAAAGCAAATTTCTCAATTTTGGTATAACCCCACTTTGTTATAATCTGTCACAGTATAACCCAAACACCCATTTGTTGTTGACTGATTCTTGATATCACATTCCCCCCATCTCTCTTCCTCATGTAAAAACTCAGGTAACATGAATTGTGATTTGGGATAAGCCAAAAAATAAAAGTCAATCACCAAACAACCACATTTAGCATGTTGTGAATACATTCAGTCCTTCTCGATAAGAAGGCAAACAACTGAAATAAAATGTAACGTAAAACCATGAAATTAAATTTTAAATGTGCGGAAAAAGCGAAAACAAGTTGCCGCAAATATACCCATTGTGTTTTTACGTTAAGGTGTGACACAATAAACTGGAAACACTTGTTTTTTCTTGATCACAAGAATTTGCACTCTTGGTTTCAGTCCAGCTGAGACAGAAGCTGGTGATTAAAATAAAAATACTCCAAGTAAAAAAATTAAATGACCTTAAAACATTTATATTTCATGTGGAAAAAATGTCTCAAATACCTAATCAGGGCAGGGACTGTAAATTAACCTTTGGCGAGATGACTTATAGGCAGAGCCAGAGCTTTTGTAACATTGTTTTTTTTTATATGTTGTGTATTTCTGTTGAAATAAAACTGAAATAGATAAAGAATGACGGTATTTCAAGAAATGATTCGGTGTTTTAAAGAAACTTTTCAAAAAGTAAAATAGCAACGTAGGTTTCGAAAAACAATTTTTGTTTGAAAAAGGCCTAAAAGGTTCCCTATTTGATGTCCAGATAGGTTATGCTGTCACTGGTTGTTGTCCTTTTACTATCACTTTACCTGGAGGGCATCATATCAGGGAACCACAGGCGGCTCAGGTGCTTCGACGCCTCACTGCTCCATGTTGTAGCTGTTATCTGGAATCAACACCTCCTCCATGATCGACAGCGCGTCAGTCTGCCCCCGCACATCTTCACAAACTCCACAAAGCCGCTGCAGGTCACCTAGCACTCACCCAGCCCGATGGCTATCAGGCTTTTACAGCACTTTGCGATGTGGATCAGCTCCTCGTCCAGTGGATTGAGGCCATTGGTGCACACCGCCAGCTCCACCAGCCGGGGGCAGGTCAGCCCGATGCGGCCCAGCATCGGGCTGACAATGCAGAAATGCTCCAAGTGGACGTGCTTTTCAGAGGACAAAGCAAGCAGAAGCTCAACACTGAGGATATGGTAGTTTAGCGCCAGTTCCCGGAGGCCGTGGCACTGATCTGCCACAAACAAAATACCTGAAGAGAGGAAAGAGATGATGCCTCAATGTCAATAACTTTTGGATGGACTGCCCAACCTTTATCTTTGACTGTTCACACAAAAACTGATATTTATAGACATTCCCGTTCAATTTAGTTCAAGCTAGTGTAAAATATTGACTCCCAACGGTTTAATACAAATCCATGCCTATTTCTTAGATTTTTATTTGTAAAAACTCATCTTCAGAAGCTTCAGGGTGTCGCTGTTGTTGGTCACCAAGACCTTCAGAGACGGATCATCCATCGGGTGTCGTCGACCTTGATGAACAACAGAGACTTGGAGTTCACAGACACGACCGTCGGAGCAGAGACGAAGTTGGCCTGAGGTGGACAAGCTAGTAGTTACAACAGAACCTTTTCCTTGCAGGAACCCTTTTACCAAGATCGTTGCATAAAAAGAGCAAGATGGGCAGCGGACCTACCTGAGACACATCCATGAAGCTGGGCCGCGCTGTGGAAATCAGCCTTAAGGTTTTGATGGTGCAGTTCACTAACTGAGAGAATGCTGCAGACTGCCTCTGCAGACTCTGAGCTACTGTCAACCTGATTCAATCAGAAACAGGAATTCATAACTTATTAAAAACAATAAAAGTATAAAAAAATATATCTGTAAAGTAGAATAAATAAATAAAAGCCAAATCAATGTGACAGCGCATTTGGTTTGGATTAGAAAAGACACATCATGTTTTTAAAGCAGCTGATCTGGGATCATTGCGGACATTAAGGAGGTGGAAGGCTCTTACTTTGAAGCCAACATACTGCAGGTGTTGGGCGTGCTTCTTGATGATCTGCTGAATGAAGTCAGGCTGAGTGGAGCGCAAGTAAGACGTGGCTGCCTGATTGAGCCACAGGTCAGCCACGTGAAACACGTCGTTCCAGCACCGGCACACAGATGAGGCTCGGACCCGGTCCACTCGGGACAAATGCTGGAAGATCTGCAGAACAATTGTTTTCTACTTTATGAGCTTAGACAGAAAATCTTAATAAAACACATTGAAGTTTGTGGTTGTTACAAAATGTGATTTCTGTTTACCAGTGAATAGTGATCTTGTACAAACATTATGAAAGAGATCATTTCTCTGAGAGGGGGCTTCTGATCCAAATGACTAAAGAAAAGTTGACTAATTGAAGAAAAACTCAGTTCTTGCATGTTTGTAAGTGTATTTGTGTTCCTACATTTCCTGCAAAACTCTCCCCAAAAGACTTAAACCTGATGTCAAATATTCAAACCTGTAAACATAACCTCATTCTCTACATGCTACACTATTCATGAACTGCAAGCTTATTCTCTGTATTCACAAAACAGGTTTATTACTTACTAAAACCACATTAAAATAATCATAAATAATTTATTCATTGTTTTTTTGTTTTTCTTCATCACTTTACAAACTTTATTTGCTTGCTCTTTCAACCAAACACACACATTGGTAACAATGAAACTTTTTTTCTTCAATCATGACTAACAGAAGTAACATTAAATTACACATTACTTACACTGAGTCATTAAAAGCATGGCTTCCGTGTGAGTTTGGTGCTCTGGAGGTTGAGAAGGCGCCGTTCACCTGGAGCCCCGACCGACAGTGACTGGGGGATGATGATGATGACGACGATGATGATGATATGGGACAGCAGGAGCTGCTCCTTTGCTCCTCTCCTCAGTGACAGCTTGACGCAGAGCAGCGGGAAAACATGGACCCGCATCTCTGCACTGCTGTGTGCACAGGAGCCGAATATTAAACCCGCGTCTGCGGGAAATGAACATGTTTGGGTTTGTTTTCACAGAAGACAGTCAACCCAGCTCCCTGTTTGGTTGATGAGCTCGTATCAGTCAGCTTTGTATGAATAAGTAAGATCCCTAAACTGTATGAAGGCAGGATGTGAAAGTAGGTCAGTGTGTCAGAGTGTGGACAGAGTGTGTGTGCGTGTGCGTGTGTGTGTGTGTGTGTGTGTGTTAAGTAACCTGTTAATTATGTAGGAGAGAGAAGAAGAAAGTCGATTTTTTAAAATCCTTTTGTGAGCTGGAGTGAACGTTTTAGTTGTTTTGGTTTTTTATGCTCGAATTAAGTTTTTCAGGCTCTTGTGGCCATTATTTGGAAATAGGGAGGAGAGAGAAGGAAATGACATGCAGCAGATTCCTCAGGACTGGAAATCAAACCCAGGTTGACAAACAAAACCTTTAAGTGACGTCCTAAACAAAACCTAATTTTCAGTCTTAATATAAAGCTGGTTAAAATAAATACCTGAATTGGGCATTTCTGAGCCCCTTTTTCTTCTCTTTTCTACAAGCAGACAACACATGACTGCTTGTATAAAAGAGAGCAGCTCAATAACACAAAAGCTTTATATTTATTGCAAAATATTAATCTGAGAATTGCTTTCTTCCAGTAATGGAAATGATTTCTGATTAAGTTCTCTGTTTTCATACTTTCATGGATTGTTCTTCCTTTTTCCCTTTTTTACATGGTTTTCATGTTAAATTGTATTTTTTTGCAAAGTTAGTTATACTATATTTAATCCGTTATTCTAAATAAAGACTAACAGAAAGATCACACAGTAACTTTTACTTTTGATCAAACCTGATTTTTCTAGTAACGAACAAAGAAACCAGCCATAACAACGTTTGGCTTCTTCAGGGTCCAGAGTATTAAATTATGATTACAATTATCATCTATGTTATGCACAGATTTAACTCTAATCTTAATCAACACCCTGCAACATGAAGAAATCCAAACCTGTTAAATCAGCTTTTCTTTGTTTGGTGTAAAAACAAAAACAGGATTTATCAAAGACTAAAAGGGAAATGGACTGAACTAGAGCTTTGCTAGTCAAGTTGTCCACTCAAAGTGCTTCACACCGCAGTCACATTCACCCACCCACACATTTACTCCCACCAGCAGGTGTGAATGTGGCTGAGGAAGCTGGAATCGAGCTTACAACCTTCTGGTCACAAGACGACCACCGCCACAGTCGCCCTAAAGAAGCCTTTTGCTAGTCTTCTTTAAGATACAGCTTTAAACACAGTATAAAAGCTGCAATTCAGTGCAGTTTAATATGAAAAGTGAGTAAAAAAGGTAAACGAAAGGACAAACCATAAAAGCACGAGAACAGTGAAAATAAGCAGAAATCATTACCATTAAAAGACCAAGGTTTAATTCTTAGATCAAAACTTTGCTATAAATATGGAGCCGAGTGTTGCGGCACTAAACCAGCGGAGGGAAAATGTGTAATGGACGGCGAATTGAATTAATTTGACAGGTTTGGCAATAAAACACAATAAAATGTGTTGGGAGTTTCTTTTTGGGGGGAATTTGCAGTGACCAACTGACCTGACCTGCATGTTTTGGGAGATGTGGGGGGAACCGGAGCGCCCGGGGAAAACCCACGCAAACACGGGGAGACCATGCCAACTCCACACAGATGGTCTCTATGAAGACACAGCGCTAATTGCTGCGCCACCGTGCTGCCCACGTTTTTTCAATTGGGTGGGGAAGGGATCGAATTTATCGGTGATCAATGGGGGGGGGGGAATATTTAACTGTTGTTAATTTCCTCCTTTCGGAGCGTTGCATGGCGCCTCGAACTCAGAGGCTCCAACGCATGCAGGTTGTGCAAGGGAGACTACAAGTTGTCTTCTTGTAGTCTCTCTTGCATGTCTTGCTCCTTCTCTAAATGTCTTCACTCTTTTGGTTTTTGGGCTTCTTCAATCGCAGAGTGCTACGTATTTTTTTCCAGATTAAAAATTTTGACTTTCTCTTCTCACCATCCTGCATGGCGTCAGTGTGTGGATGGTCCAATTCTTGCGGGCCAGTTTCACCAGAGATTTCCTCCGTGGATTCTAGATCCGGGGAGCAAGCTCCTCCAGAGAGTTCCTCCTCCGAAGAAACTTCTTGACTCGAAACTTGGACCAGGTCAAGTTGGCTTAGTGAATTTTCTTCCTTCACTTGGGAGCCATCTTCCTCTTCTCTCAGCAGGTCGGGCAGCAGCAGATCCTGTCTTGCTCTCTCCAAGTCATCTTTCAGACAACTCACCTGCTGTTGATACTGCTCTGTTTGTTGTTTCAAAGCAGTGATGTCTGTCTCATATCGGCAGCTGACATCTTTGTACAAACTGTCAGCCTTCTGCAACTCATCCTGGGCGCTGCTGAACTTCTCTTGCAGGATTTTAATTTCTTGTCTGGTGTTTTCCAGGAGGACGGCGTTCTCGGCTCTGATGTTGTGGAGAATGGCCAGGTCCTCCTCTGACTTCTCTTGATGGCTTTTTCTCTCCTGTGTAATCTGCTGCTGCAGTTTTTCAACTTGCTGCTGCAGTTTTTCAACTTGCTGTTGCAGGACAGGAAAGCGTCTTTCCTGGAGAAGTTTGTCTTTCTTGTCTCTGTTAGAAAGAGTCGATTCCTGTTGCTTCTGCCGGTATGCCTCATTCTGCTGCTGTAAATAGATGACGTCCGTTTTGTATCGGCGTTTCAGCTCCTCGAATGAAAAGAAAACTTGATCAAGCTCATTCAGGATCTGTTTCTCCCTCTTTCGCATTATTGTGATGTTTCTGGACATATTTTCAAAGATCTCTTTCTTCTCTGCTTTCAGGTTTTTGATAAGCTCCATATTCCCATTTTCTCTTACCACGCAGAACTCCTAGGATCACTGGGACACTCAAACCATGATAAGGTGGCAGCCCGTGTGTGTGGTGTGTGTGTGTGTGTGTGTGTGTGTGTGTGTGTGTGCGTGTGTGTGTGTGATCTCGTAAAAAAGCATCAGACTGTGTGCAAGAAGGACATCTGTGGCTATTCTGACACCTTCAGGATTTCCCCGGGGTGAATCTTGGCTGACTTTTGCACACAGAGCCCCAAAGTTTTCCAGAAGGACATGACGGGAAGCAAAAGTCTGGCCTTTGCAATGACTCATTTTGTTTTTATTCCTCATTATTTTGTGGAAATTATTTTTCACTTTAACATTAAACAGTTTATTGTAATTATTTTAGTCTTAAAATTAAATGTTGTTCACCATGATTGTTTTGTCAAAGCAATAAAAAGGATAAAACATCCAGAGGTCGAATATGTTTTAGGCACGAATATGTTGGGTGGAAAAAAACCCTCAAACATCTCACTGCTGAAATCTGTTAAGCCAGCCTTCCTTAGGTCGATGTCAGAGATCGGTAGATAACTACAAGAAGCATCTTACTAAAGTTAGAGGAATGCTATGGGAGGATGTCCCATTTTTTTTCTGAGCTTTTCTTTTATTATTATTATTATTATGTTTAATGAGCAAACCAATGTTAGTTTTGACTGTTTGAGTGTTCAGTATGTAATTTATTTTCCAGGGATATATAAAAATAATGAATGAAGATTAAAAACTTTAATATGATACTTTTTCTCACAAATTTATTCAGTTGTGACATTTGGTGAAATTACTGGACCCAAAAGCACACGGGATACCTGGAAGGTCATGGTGATTGAAAAGTTCAGTCAGAAAGATTTCAGCAGATGTATAATGTTGGAGGAGCCATGAAGTCAGTGCATTGCTGTGGCTCCCATAAAACGCTAATCTCAGCCCCACTGGTAATTTCTGGCCACAGCCGAAAACCAGTTCTGTTGGGCAGTCTGGGCCAAACTTGATGGGATGATCTTGTGTTAGGATAACAAAAAGCAACTGAACTATGCCATTATGTAAAAGGAAATCCCATCAAATCCCAGGGAAATGTGTGTCAACGTTTGAATTTGAAAAACCTAATAAAAAGTGAGATAGAAAATGTGTCTTTTTACTATGTATATAAGTATCCTGTTTCAACTATATATGTGCAAGCAGGGCCAGCTTTGCATTATTATTGTGAGACAAAGCAAACATGCACATTCACCAGAATGGTCAATTTCATCACAGCGTTTGCTCAGTTTTGCTGAAGTCGTTGGGAGGTCTAGAGGTACAGGTTACATTAATGTGTTATTATAGCTGCTGTTTTGTTCTATCTGCTGATATAGAAGTTATAACTAATATCTAGCATAGCGCATATTATAATTCTTTCAATATAAAATAACGTAAAACTCTATGTAGAATATCAGATTACTCTTTGTTAAGCTATACCCCGAATAATTTGGGGTTCTAATAAGGCCTCTAAACAAATAGGAGCCTTCAGAACAAACTGAGGGCAAACTTAACTCGTAACGCCGAACGTTTGCGTCGGAGCTCCGCCCCTCGGCGATGACGTAGTGAAGCCCATCGATCAGTCACGTCTGCTTGAGTTGAAGGAAGCAAAAATAGGAGTTTTTTTTATGACAACAAGAAAAAGGAAACTCTCAGTTTATCAGAGTCAGTAGTTCCTCACTTCCGACAACATGTCCAGACGGTTCTACTTGGTTCACTGTGACCAAAGCTGGGAAGAGGCTGTTAGCTTGTTAGCTTAGCTTGTCAGCCTGACAGTCAACAACTGTGTAGCCTGTAGCTAACCTTTCTTTTTCTCTCCTGAAGGTAAGAGTTCATCACTTTATAAAATAACTTCTGCTAGCGGCGTATTTGTCTATACGTAGATGCGGATGTCTTGCTAAATCTCAGGTTAACTTAATATGTTTTGTGTTGTGTTCCTGCTGGTGAAACGAAGTGACAAATAATCGGTTTAGTAGCTACTGCTGCAAATGCAGCTCCTGATGTGCTTGACTAGCCATGTTTATTGTGATTTTAAATTGAGATAAATTAGGCTTGCACGCTGGATCTAGAGAAGAGCATGTATTTTTATTGTAGAAGCGACCTGTTGACCAAAGCAGAACATCAACACAGCCCATACTTAATTTGTTTGTTCTTGTTTGAAATGAAAATCCAAGTCTTTCCAGTTTTGTGTCTCAGATCTTAGAAGTGGTTCTATAAATTACTCTTTAGTTAAGACTGAAGGAACCTACTGTCCACACGATTGACTTTAAGAAGACTCAGTAGCTCTGTAATGTAGAACAATCAGTTCTAAAGGCATGAAAACACAATATTTTAGATAAACTCATAATAAATGGACATTATGACAGCAAGTTTGGACCTTTAGACAGAGAGAGAGAGCAGTGTTTGCTTTTATAGAGATAATTTGCAATGAAAAGATCGGAGAAGCAGATTTATTATATGTGTTTGTTTCTGAATTAATTTTTTTACGAATTAGGATGAGTAGCTAATAATAAAATGAATACATAGAAAATAGAAAATAAATAGAAGAAACAACAAATACCTTAATATAGTGTAAAAGATTCAAAATGTTTGTATTGAAATCTGAAATAATGGCAGGTACTGGGTAAGATTGTAATGTTTGCTGAAGTTGTATAATCAATCAAATATACAACAGAAATTAAAATGAAGCTATATAATTCACTAATAATGAACAGGAGGTAAAGTTCAGCAAACATCATCAGTATCCAGATTGGTTTGTGGTTTTTTTAAGAGGTTTTCTGCATATACCTTTTTTATATGCGGGGGCTTATTCTTATTGACGTTTTAATAGAACTCAAAGAAGATCGTTGCAGTGTTTCAATGTTCTGGTTTCATCTCTCAACTTGAGAAAAAAATCTCCTCTGCTCTACTGTTTTTTTTGTTTGCCTGGTGTATTCTTGTTTTGACATTTAAATCATTTCTCTCCTTCTGTGGTTTCAGGCAAAGCAGTCATGACACAAAAGATAAACCTGTGCTCAGTTTCCCTCAGGGTCGAGGGAATGACCTGCGGCTCTTGTGTTCAGTCCATAGAGCAGCGGATTGGGTCTCTACATGGAGTGATACATATCAAGGTAATGGCTGATTTTACACTATCTGTTTTTCTGCATTTTATGCTCTTTCTTGACTCACTGACCTTTAAATTTGATGACTTCTGCATTTATTTCCACTGTAAAAACAAGAATTTAACTACCGGTATGTAACTCTTGAGCAGAGAATCCTCTTGTTAACTTAGATATAAATTTACATAGGTTTTATTCTCTTCATGGTAGAACTGTATTGTTTGGTACAGTTCTGTTTCTTAGGGAGCAGCTTGTCCAATGCAATCAGTGCAGCCATGTTAGACAGCTTAATTGAAGTAGTGGTGGTCTGCTGTTTTGTTTCTTGTATGTTTACCCCTCAGGCTAAGGCTGAATGAGAAGATAATGTAATACTGTGTTCCCAATTATTCCCTGCCCTTTACAGGACTGCGACAACAGGTCGATATATCCTCTGCCCCTACAGAAAATTATTGTGGGTAACAGAATTTAGGGCTGGGATCATCTGTTTATAAGTGATCTGAGCAAAGTGAATTGTTTTTCATTTTTCTCTTGGAAGAGCAATGTGTATTTTTCTTTGTTTTCTAATTTTATGAAAAAGTTCCTACTAAAGCAGCTAGAAACTGCTTCCTTTTTTTTAAACTTATGGCTGAATCAGGTGACGCTTTCTGAGCATCACATGTTTCCTTCTTGCTTAAGAAGGCGACCTGAGGGTCATCATGCTGACTGAACATGCAAACTCATACCAAAGGCCACAAACAAATGCTGTAAAATGCCATTAAATTAGAGCTGCAGTGATTTAATATGGCCATATAACAGAATTATGTAAAAGATCATTGAACTAACTTCAGTGTAAGTTGCTTTAAGAAGAGTATACAGAGCCACTGCTTCCTGTGTCGCAAACGCAAAGATTTAATTGGTATTTTATGTAGTGTGCCAAAGTGGTGACTACATAATTAAGTGGAAGGAATGATGATTTTCATGCTGTTTTGTAAGCAGAAATCTTAAGTGTTTTCTATTGAGCCCTCTGCGAGTCAAATCATTGTTGAATAAGTTGCAGCTGCAGATGTTTTTTGGGAATGTTTTCCTATTGCTTCGGAAATCTAGAGACTGCAATTATTCCCTAGTAACCATTGCAAAGCAGTTCTGTCCAGTTCATTTAGACAGCGCCATTTCACAATCAAAATGCACCTTACAAGACAAATTAATCCAGCTTATAAACAGAAATGTATGTAACTGAACATTCATATTCATTTATTTGCATGTTATATGAGAGCTAATTATAACACAGTGCAGTATATACCGATCTGTAAAATAATAAGAAAAAAATATATAATTGATAAATGAAGTCACTGAACATCTGTGGCCATCAGGTTGTGTGAAATCTTAGTAAAAAGAGGGCTCTTCGGTGTAACAGTGGTGTTTATGGTGTTTCTTGCTTCCAGCTTTGTAGACCTAATTCTTTCTTCATTGATAAATTGCCCCAACTCAGTCAAATTGGATGGAGAGTGTGTCTGTACAGCAATTTTCAAATCCTGCTGCAGATTCTGTATCGGATCTAGAACTAGACCTTGTTTAAGCTTTGCTAGCTCATGAACATACTCTAAGTCACTTGTTTGGAGTTGTGGTGTGGGGTGTGGGGCTGCTGCTCTGCATGAAGAGGAACCTCCACCCTCCCTGTCTCCAGTCTTTTGAAGCCTCAACAGGGTTTCCTCTGTTTATGAAACTAGGTGAACAAAGTCAGTCAAAACCATTAATACCCAAGAGTATTAAGGCGTTAATCTTAATATTTATTGTAAAATAAACTGATTGTGGCTAGAATTAGCTGCCTGTATGGAAAAACATTGATATCTGAAATCTGAAATGCACATATCCAATATTAATAAATGGATCGGCCCTGATATTTAAAAAAAAATTCCAGATCAGGTATTATGATAGACAATGTGGTCCATCCATAAGAGCAGATCTATTTAGTCTATGTCTATTCTTTGTGCTCTGAGTGATGTCCTGCTATTATGTTATTTATTTTACATTATATTTATAATTGTTAATTGCACCCTCACAACCATTTTGAAAGAACCATCTTATTTACTTTAGCCAATCTGTTGTTTTAGTCAGTTTATCTTTCCGGTAACAATTTATTTGAAGCGGTGTGCATAAGACTGACATGACAGTGTCATAAGCATGACACAACACTTGTCAGGAACATGAGGGAGTTTTCATGACTGTTTGCTACTGTTGCCATGAAGTGTCATTTGGTAAATAATGACATTTATAATGCAAAGTTAACACTTTTAATGGACTTTTAATTAAACTTTTAGTGCAACTTTGCATTAAAAATGTCATTAGTTACCGATTGACACTTTATGACAACTGTCGTAAACATTTATGAGGACTTCTTCATGTTCATGACAAGTGTTATGTCATGTTTATGAGTGTCATACCACTCTTATGCACACCCTTCCAAACAAAGCGTTACCCAGTATTTTTTATTGTTTATTTTACAATGATGGTTTTACTAATTGTTCTGAAACTGTGTTGTGTTGTTTTGACCAAGCTTGTGAAGCAATTGTTGTATTTAAGTGTGCTGTACTGCTGTACTGCTGTACTGCTGTACTGCTGTACTGCTGTAGAGTCGATACCAAACCTCAAATATCTGTATTGGATCAATGCATCCTTAATCAGAACTATAATTCTCCACAACATCATCCTTATTTAACATATAACATATGTTTTTTTGTTCCAGGTGTCTTTAGAGAAGAAGAGTGCCACGGTTATTTTTGACTCCGGTCAACAGAGTCCTGAGTCCCTGTCAGAGGCCATCGAGGACATGGGCTTCGAGTCCAGAGTACCAGAGAGCAGCACTGCCACTCCAGTGTTTACAGACACTCACCTGATCCCCATGTCAGGAATCACACCTGCAGCCCAACAGGAGGCTTTGGAGAAGCTGTCACAAATTCAAGGGGTGCTTGATGTCCAGGAGAGCGCACCCAGCATGGGCCTGACCGTCACTTATGTTCCCTCCCTGACCTCCATCCAGCTGCTCAGGGAGATGGTGGAAGGTGTCTCACCTCAGGAGAAACAAACTGGTGGCAGCCCAGTGCAGAAAGGCCTGAGCGTGTCCGAGCTGGACACCGCGGCCACTGAAGCCGCGGTTCTGAAGCTCAGCATTGAAGGAATGACCTGCCACTCTTGCACCACCACCATTGAAGGGAAGATTGGAAAACTGAAAGGGATTAAAAAGATCAAAGGTGAAGTTTTCGACATGCTCTGAGACCTGCGTTCACGTATGACTTCGCTAACTGAGGTGCTGCGCTGCACGTCTCACATGGCCATGGCGATATGAACCTGACCCTGTTTTTATGGATTTGAGAATGACTCGTGAAATCCTCTCACAGGTTTTGCAGGGAAGGAAATGTAAACAGATGGGATTATATTTACTGACATGTCTCTGGGTTTACGGTGACAGTATGTTTGCAGACAAATTTATGTGCTGTTGTAGAAGCATAACTCATTCAACACTGCTGCAGGTATTCTAAAAATAGATGCAGCGCAGTGGGATAGAAACTTTAGTTTATTTTATCTGTAGCAGAATGTTATGTTTTATAACAAATTGTTCAATTCAATTCTTACAAATAAGTTTATATTTCAAAAACATGTAAATGTAAAATGAATAGTAGCTGTCTAGTAAATACAGTTTTTTTTCCAATGATAAGGCTATTGCACTAAAAGCTTTTGTTGCACTAAAAGCTTTTGTTGCACTAAAAGCTTTTCTTCCACTGAATATAAGCTTTTAGGTATTCTTCCACACAGCAATAATTAAATAACACTGTATGATAACTATGAAAAATGGTTTATGACCCGTCTCATCAATAGGTTATTTGCTGTCATTGTGCAAGGACAATAAAATGGGTTGCAGTCCCACTTCTTGCAAAATAACTCACAAAACTGACAAAAATAAAATAAAGCAACCCTTAAATGTAGCTGATAAGCAAGACTAAGCCAGTATAAAACAAAAATAAGGTAAAAAAAAAATTATATTGGGAATGTTTTAGCTGTGAAATGGTAAGAAAAGGTTTAAACTAGTGTTTTAGCTACTTCAGAAGATGAATTACATTTAGGCATTTTGAAACATTTACAGAAACACTGAAAACATGTTTGATCGGGTTGTACTTCTCTGCCCTCTGGTGGACAAAATGCAAATATGTCCTGTAGAATTATTACTTTATCTGTTAAAGGGCAAATTTAGGCAACTATTAGGAAGGACAGTAATTCTTTATATTTTACTTGAATATAATTATTAAAAATAGCTATTCTAATAATGGCTATTGGTTCTTGCTGATAAAGCCAGACGCTTCTTGTGTTCCACTCCTGTTTGTTTCTTTTTTGTTTTTTTTGAAGGCAAGAATTAAACTCCATGAAAGACTTCAAAAAATATTTAAGCCAACCAGTTTTTAAGAAATAGCCTTTGGTAAATTAAGTCTATAACTATATAGATTTAAGTTTCAGAATATATTGAATTACAGTCATTATTCCATCCTTAGAATGTGTATTCATCATTTAGAAGGTTATTTTATGTGAAAATGCATTAATTTGGAAGGATGCTTACTGCTCACACCTGACATGCTTCAGATATCAGGTGTGATATCTGAAGTGACTGGGGTGTTTAAATTTATTAGAATTTAAACCATGTTGGGGAGAATTTGGATGAAAATATAATTGACAACTTCATTGAAATAATCAAGGATAATATTGCAGTCAGTTTTACTAATACTGTGCAGGCCTTTTTTTATTTTATTTACATATTTCCTTTATCTAAACATCTGTATCTTTGCTCATCTTATGTTTTACTCTGCATATTAACTCACTCCTTTCCTCTCTGCAGTTGTTCTGGACTCTCAGGAAGCTACGGTTGTCTACTTGCCTTACCTCACCACCATCCAGACCATCATCGAACAGATTGGTGTGGCTGGCTTCAAAGCCTCTGTCAAATCCAAGCCCCGCCCCCTGCAGCTCTCCAACAGAGACATCGAACGTTTCATTGATTCTCAAAAAGCGTCGGCTTCTTCTTCTGTGCCCGAGACGTCCGATGACACAGAGGTCTTCATAGACACCGCGTGCGCTCGGCTCAGGGTGAAAGGCATGCACTGCCGTTCTTGTGTGGTCAACATTCAGGACAACATCTCCACGCTGCCTGGTGTTTCCTCTGTAGAGGTCTCTCTGGAGAAGGAGCAGGCCTCCATCTGCTACGACCCTCTGAAAGTCACAGTGACTCAGCTGCAGCAGGCCATCGAAACTCTTCCTCCTGGAAACTTTAAGACCGAACACCTGGACTTCTCCCACACTCTCAATCCCGTATTGAGAGTGTGGGAGCACTCAGCACTACAGCCCAGACCTGCTGCTTCCCATCCGTGTTCCACCCAGCCGCTGGTGTCTGCTGTTCATATTCACATTGAAGGCATGACCTGCAACTCCTGTGTGCAGTCTATTGAAGGAATGATCTCCCAGAGAAAGGGAGTGAGGTCGGCTCAGGTGTCCCTGACTGACCATCAGGGAGTCTTTGAGTATGACCCTCTTCTCACCACGCCAGAGGAGCTGAAGGAGGCCATAGAAGACATGGGCTTTGATGCATTTTTACCTGGTAAGAGTGTGCGGCATGTATTATATCCAGGTAGCTTTTTCTTCCTTTTGACTAATTTTCTGCTCCTGCTTTTTATTCACCTTGAACATTCTGACCATTGATGTATTATCAACATCGCATTCATCCTCATAACGGTTGCTGAGTAGATATTTTCTCTTTTCTGATTATTATGTGTAAACTTGAGAGATCACAATGAATGAAAATTCCACTAGACTGGCTCATAAACAATATATAATTTTTTTTTTACCCCTACAGTTGTTGTGTTGGGTTTTTTGTAACCAGCTATTTCAACCGAAAGATGATGCATCTTTCTTTCCTTTTGTGTGTCTAAAGGTTGTCCCGTTCTTAAAAGACTTTACTTTTATATATCGTTCATCTCCTGTAGAAAAACACTAAAAGAGTTTGAAAAGGCCTGAAGTACTATTGATGAAGACGCGTGAAAAGAATTGCAAGAAAGACTCACTACATTGAAGCAGAGTGTATAAAAAGGAGTGGTTTTGTTTGCAGTGTGGTGATTTTTGTCAAGTTTGTTATTTATTCTTGTTATTTATCTCAACAACAGAAACCAATTCTCTGCTGCCTGCATCGGATCCCATACTACCAAGGTCTCCACGTGTCCAGAAGAAGAACTTAGACAGCGAGCTCCACCACGAAACCCTGCTGGGATCCTCTGGAGACGTGCCCTCCAAATGCTACATCCAGATCGGAGGAATGACATGCGCATCGTGTGTGTCAAACATCGAGCGCAACCTCAAAAACGAAGCTGGTGCGTAAAACAACAACGGTACTCGTCTGTGTGAACCTTCTGGTGATGAGGTGCTACAGAGGAAATTTCAAATGTCTTTTAGGTATCTACTCCGTTCTGGTGGCTCTGATGGCGAGTAAAGCAGAGGTCCGTTACAACCCTGAGGTCACAGATCCGCTGACGATAGCGGAGTGTGTGAAGGAGCTGGGCTTCACCGCCTCTGTGATGGAGAACTACGAAGGATCCGACGGAAACCTAGAGCTGGTGGTGAGTCGGTCACAAGCATCGGCTTTTTGTTCCCGTGTTTGGGTTTTACGCAACATTTTCAGCCCGCGATGTGATGCTTTTGTGCTCATCTCTCTGTTTGGTTCTCCCACCGTCCACCAGGTCAGGGGGATGACATGTGCCTCCTGTGTTCATAAAATCGAATCAACCCTCGTCAGAGAAAAGGGGATTATATATGCCTCTGTTGCCTTGGCGACCAACAAAGCACATGTAAAGTATGACGCCGAAGTGATCGGACCACGAGATATTATCAAGCTGATTGAGGTACAGATGCAGAAAATGTTTCCATTGTTCTTGGGTGTTCAGATTATACTAATAAAGCATAATGACTGTGAAACAATGACTCCATTTGTTTTATCTAAGTTTCGCGCAACATTATCGGTAGTAAACAATCATTTGTTTGCAGAATATGGGATTTGAGGCGTCTTTAGTGAAGAGGGACCGTACAGCCAGCCACCTGGACCACAGCAAAGAGATACAACAGTAAGCATCCTTTTTCTTTTCTCTGGTGGTTTCCGTTTTATAGCTACACTTTCTTCTCCCTCTCCAGTAAAATTTGTTCATGAAAGTCAAATTCTTACGACTTCACACCAAGACGTGTTCACTCGTTCAGGTGGAGGAAGTCCTTCCTGGTGAGCTTGGTTTTCTGCGTGCCTGTGATGGGCATGATGATCTACATGATTTATATGGACCACAAGATGAACGCTACGCACCATCACAACGCCACGATAGAGGACCGCAACCACTACCACTCCACCATGTTCTTGGAGAAGCAGCTGCTCCCCGGCCTCTCCATCATGAACCTCCTGTCCTTTCTGTTCTGTGTACCTGTACAGGTGAGTAACACCGACTTTAGATTTCCAGCTGCTTAATCTGGCAGATCAAATGTAGGACAGTGAGCATTCTCTGTTTTTGTCTTTTTGTTAACGGTCAGTTTATTGGAGGCCGTTACTTCTACATCCAAGCCTACAAAGCAGTGAAGCACAAGTCTGCCAACATGGACGTGCTCATCGTTCTGGCCACCACCATAGCGTTCAGCTACTCTCTGGTCATCCTAATCGTTGCCATGGTGGAGAAAGCAAAAGTCAACCCCATCACATTCTTCGACACGCCTCCCATGCTCTTTGTCTTCATCTCACTGGGACGCTGGCTGGAACAGATTGCGAAGGTCTTGCTCCCTTGTGATTGTTGATTGTTTGAATTTGGAGAAAACCTTTTAAATTTGGCAGCTTTTTTTTTTTTTTTTTTTGACAGGCAAGTAAACTTTTTTTTTTGTACGTCCCTTCCAGAGCAAAACCTCCGAGGCTTTGTCCAAGCTGATGTCGTTACAAGCTACAGAAGCCACCGTGGTGAACCTCAGCAGTGATAACTGCATTCTCAGGTTCTCGATTTTTTTCTTCTTGTTTATAGATTATTTATAGATTACTATCATATGCAGATTTTTGATCAAATGAATATACTAACTTAAACAACAGTCATATTTTTTTGATTTTTGTTTTAGTGAGGAACAAGTGGATGTTGAGCTGGTGCAGAGAGGTGACGTGGTCAAAGTCGTCCCTGGAGGGAAGTTTCCGGTTGATGGGAGGGTCATTGACGGACATTCGATGGCAGACGAGTCTCTTATCACAGGTTGGTTGCATTTGTGTCTGTTTGGGGTTAAGAAAGGGCTTCATGATTCCTGAGTACAGTTAAAAGCAATCATCAGGAGGTGATTGCTTTTTTAGAATGCTTTCCTAATTCCCATTATTACATAACGTTTCAGTACAACACTTTGTATGTTGAAAGAGTGGCCATAGGAAGTCCCTCTTCCAGTTTTGTCAGTCAAATTTATTTATATAGCACTTTAAAAACAGGTGTAAAACTGCACCAAAGCACTGTACAAGAATAACAATAACACAAATTGATAAAAACAGAGTATCAAAACACTACTTCAAATAAAAGCCGTAGAATAAAAAGGAGTTCTGTGAAGCGATTTAAGATGATTTCTAATTAAATTAACTAATTAAAAGGTTAATTGTTCCAACAGAACTTGCAATTTGCACAAACATGTGGAAGCAGCTTTTAGCACTGTGTAAGGCAGGACACTTAACGCTTCACATCTCCCTGAACTGTGAAACACGGGAGATGGAGTAACTAACTTAAAAATCTGGAAACAGGATAACAACCTCACACACCTTCAACAGTTTGATCGTAGAATATCTGGTCTAGTCAAAGGCTTGTCTGGAATCCAACCAAGAATCCAGATGTTCAGTGACGCTCTCCTTTATCTGAATGAGCTTGAGCTATTTTTTCAAAGAATAATCAAGCCTTTAGTTTTTAAATAAAGCTGCTAAAAACATATCCCAAAGTGACTTGCGGTGAGTCAGTGGGATGCATACAAATCCTCAGCATACATTTTTCAAACTTTTATCTGCAGAAAACAGAAACTTGCACATATTATTAACTTGTGTTGTATTTCTGACCAGTAGTTGCAATGTGATTGCAGGTGAGGCCATGCCGGTGACAAAAAAGCCCGGGAGCTCAGTGATCGCCGGTTCCATAAACCAGAACGGCTCTCTGCTGGTCAGTGCTACTCATGTCGGGATGGACACCACCCTGTCTCAGATAGTTAAACTGGTGGAGGAGGCACAGACTTCAAAGGTGAGTCAAAATCTGTGCTAAATCTACAATATTTAGGAAAAACTTGTAATTCTATTAATGATTTTAATGTTGTTTTGCAGGCTCCTATCCAGCAATATGCAGATAAGATCAGTGGCTACTTCGTTCCCTTCATTGTTGTGATATCGGTGCTCACACTGATTGCCTGGATCATCATTGGATTTTTGGACTTTTCTCTGGTGGAGAATTTATTTCCTGTGAGTTTATTGTTTGTTCACCTTAGAGTGGCAGCTTAATGTTTAATTTTTATTTTCCTAATTAAACATAAAAAAGAGCCTTCCCACCATCTGTAATACTTTTATTTTTTAACCATTAATCATTTTCTGCTTCTTTCCACTGCAGGGTTACGATCGAAGCATTTCCAGGACTGAGGCAGTGATACGGTTTGCCTTCCAGGCCTCCATAACGGTGCTGTGCATCGCCTGCCCCTGTTCTCTTGGCCTGGCAACCCCGACAGCTGTCATGGTGGGAACCGGGGTTGGAGCCCAAAATGGCATCCTGATAAAGGGAGGAGAGCCTCTAGAGATGGCTCATAAGGTGCGTTTGTAATTATTCACTGTCGGTAATCTATTTACGGTGAGGAAAAGTCTCAGATTTCTTTGAAATACTTTCATTTACTGGATAAGTACAGAAGAAGATTATTTTAGTCTGAATAAAAGTTATCAAAAGATTTATCTTACTTTTTACCCACCTGGTTATTTCAGGTCCAATCTGTCGTATTTGACAAGACCGGGACGATCACATACGGCGCTCCGAAGGTTGTCCAAGTCAAGATGGTTGTGGAAGGGAACAGGATGCCTCGCTCCCGCCTGCTGGCCATTGTGGGCACAGCAGAAAATAACAGTGAACACCCACTGGGAGCTGCTATTACCAAATATTGCAAGCAGGTTGGTTTTCTCTCTCAGGTGTAATCCATCAGCCCATACTTCCCTTTGCCGAAATAGTTCTAAAACAGCAAATGTTTGTGTTTTCCTGTTTTCTGACGCGAAGGAGCTCGGTACCGAATCTCTCGGCACCTGCACCGACTTTCAGGCCGTGCCAGGCTGCGGCATCCGATGTCAGGTCAGCAACACGGAGTCTCTGCTAAAGCAGGCGGACAGCGACAGTGAGGACAACAACCAGCGCAGCAGCATCCTCGTCCAGATAAGTGACACTCGGACGCCGGGCAGCTCCCACCCGCTCACAATGGACCCACAGCCTCTAAGTACGCAGAGAAGCCAAACTGTAATGATTCATTTTTGACAGCTGAGTTTAACAGAATTTGAATAATATTTTCTGTAGGTTTGGTTGAGACAGGCGTCTATGTTGTCCTGATTGGCAACAGGGAATGGATGAGAAGGAATTGCCTTCAGGTCGGACCAGACATCGATAATGCCATGATAGAGCATGAGCGCAGAGGACGCACTGCTGTGCTAGTCGCTGTGGAGAGTGAGTGATTGTCCAGCGAAAAATACACTCTCTTTAAAAACACAAAACAGTAACTTGTAAAAATGTATTTTTGTTTGTAGACGAGCTGTGTGCAATGGTAGCCATAGCCGACACGGTGAAGCCTGAGGCTGAGCTGGCCGTCCACACGCTGACAAATATGGGTCTGGAGGTGGTGCTGATGACCGGAGACAACAGTAAGACGGCGCGCGCTATCGCCGCCCAGGTAAGGAAGGAAGAAGAACTCGACGCATAATTATGAAACGGAAGGAAAAGTAAAAGGGATGCAATTAGACTTGCAAGTCTCTCTGTCAGCCTTCCATGTCTGGATCCTGACAGTTTTGGCCTTTTCTTTGGAGTCCAGCTCAAGCTGAGTCAGATCGAAAGGAGAAAAACTACCACTCTTCTTTAAAGTCTGGATTTATAAAGTGCAGCCCTCACAGTGGATCTCTGCAGCTCCTCAGGAATTATCCTGGGCCTCTTGGCTGCTGCTCTGATTAATGCTCTCCTTACTTGCTCTTTCTGTCTAGATGGATGACCGTGCCTCAGTTGGTTTCTATTTAGTTTGTCGTTGCTGTAATATGGCAAAATTTGAAAAAGCTAAATGGGTATGAATACGTTTGCGAGCCACACCTGATTGCACCTCTTTATTTTTGTTTTGTTTTCTTACAATTTCGCAAAAGGTGGGCATCAGGAAAGTGTTTGCCGAGGTGCTGCCGTCCCACAAGGTGGCCAAAGTGGAGCAGCTGCAGCAGGCCGGAAAGAGAGTTGCGATGGTGGGCGACGGGGTCAACGACTCGCCCGCTCTGGCGATGGCTGACGTCGGCATCGCCATAGGAACCGGGACAGATGTTGCCATTGAGGCAGCAGATGTGGTGTTGATCAGGGTAAAAATGAGAAATTGTCAAGTTGTTGCATCACAGAGGAATATAAAACATTGTTGGTCAAGTTATTAAACATTTTTAAATGTTCTCTAATTCAAGAACATTTTAACATTTCGAGCAGTGATTAATAAAACCTAAGTGAAGCTCTTTTATGTTGTCACAAGGGTTTTTCAACTTTTTGTAAAGACTGAACATTTATTGTTGACATTTTGGGTTTTAAACATCCGATCGACTCTCTGCTTGCAGAATGACCTGCTGGATGTTGTCAGCAGTATCGACCTCTCTAAGAAGACGGTCAAGAGGATCAGGATCAACTTCGTCTTTGCTCTGATCTACAACCTGGTTGGCATTCCTATCGCTGCTGGTAGGCACTGTGAAAATATCCGAAAGGTTAATCTGGATTCCTGTTTGGAAATCGTGGGATTTTCCAGGTCGGACAAAATGCAAAAAATAATAGAATACGTGTTTGACTTTCAAGATTCGTACATTTCCTATTGGAACTGTCAGTCCACCCAAAGAATAGTTTAAGAACCATTTCCTTGTGAAACAAAAATCTTCCTCAAACTTATATTTACTTTATTTTACTTTTATTTTGACATTTGACTTTTATTTTGCATAATTTTCAATCTGAAAACAAAACAGAAACCCTGGTTTGTTTATTTTTCTATCATGTCACTTAAATAATTTTCAAGCCTGTCAGTACTGAGACTCGGTACTGTTTTTCTGTCCAGGTGTGTTCCGACCCATTGGTCTGGTGCTGCAGCCGTGGATGGGTTCTGCTGCCATGGCGCTGTCTTCCGTCTCTGTGGTTTTGTCCTCCCTTCTGCTGAAATGGTAATGAGATGTTTGGATTGTGTTCTCCCGTTTGTTTCGTTGTTGCTGCTTTTTTGTCCCTCACCGCTCTCTTCCGTGTGTCGTCGCTCAGTTACACGAAGCCCAGCGCCGAGAAGCTGGAAGCCAAACTCGGCGGCGGCAGGCAGCAGGACAGCCTGTCTGACGTCAGCGTTCACATCGGCATGGGCGAGCTGCGCCGTCCCTCCCCCAAACTCAGCCTGCTGGACCGCATCGTGAACTACAGCCGAGCCTCCATCAACTCGCTGCGCTCCGACAAGCACTCGCTCAACAGCTTGGTGCTGAGCGAGCCCGACAAACACTCGCTGCTGGTGGGGGGGCCGCTGTGCGAGGAGGAGATCTGCTGAGCGCAGGCATGCATCCCAGGCGACACTGCAGTTATTTTTAAGGCTGAACTGCGTCGAGATCAAGCGGTTTGAAAACCGGTCCAGCCATACTTGAAGTTAGCTTTTTGTTCTTCTTAGCTCAACCAGCTGATCCCATATTCTCTGAGAGACCGTCTGTGGCGGGCCAGAAAGATGATCTTCCTTTTCCTTTACAACCTTCAAGATCGACCCATAGACATGTAAACTGTGGTGCCCCTTGTTCTTGAGTGGACACTACAAAAGGGGAAAATTTGAATTCTGTTGTATGATTATTCTTCTATTTATATTATTTATCAACTTTTTGTCATTGTATCCTCTTATGTGAAGAATGAAGTTGTTGAATCCAAATGCCAATAATCACATGCGTAATGATAACTCTAACTAAACAGCCTTGAAACAAGCAGAGAGTCGATTGTAGTGGAGTGAGCTGTAAATGTTACCCAAGTGCCAGCTGAAACGCTACCTTTGCAAAGTCCAACACATTCCAAAGATAGCAACCTTCACCCGTTTTCTTGGACTTTAGGTCCACGATGTGTGAGCAAAGGTTACATGTTCACAGGCGGCAAGCTGAAGGGTCTGGGATTTTGCACCTTTTCGTCAATGTGAAAGTGAATGTGTTTATACTCGTTTAGAACTGAGCAGAAGTTGTTACACGAGTCGCTTGGATTGCTTTAGTTGCCTGCTGCAGACATGCCTGGCCTCACAAAAGGCCAAACACTAAATGTGTTCACGTCCTGCTTCTGGTTACAACTCATAAAGTACAGTGTTAACTGTTTTCTACTGACTTATGTAATGCCAGTCTGTCACTTTGCTTTTATGATGGATTCATGTTAGTGCACTTGATGAACGACTTGACGTTCGTCCTCCAGCATCAGTGGTTTGCAATCGATTCGGCCAAACAGGTGCTGCTAAATTCACTAAGTAGCTTGTTTTACTGAACCACGTTGTACAATCAAATGAGATTAGAAGGGTCTAAATTTTACAGACCATAAAACTGTCATTGTGTGTTTTTACAGTATTTTATGTGCAGTTATCTGATAAAATCTGTAGAAAGTTGCTCAGCTATACTTTATTTTGTATTGCTTTCTTCCTTCCTAAGCTAAAGATCCACCAGGTTCAAACAGTAATGCTGTTTTCTTCTGCAGACCACTCTTGAATTTATTTGTGGCTCTATTTATGCCAATATGTAGTATTTGTGCAATCTTTTTGTGAAAATGTTCATAAAGTTTGGGTTTTTTTTGAGGTCTGCCCATTATCCTCTGTGGTTCTTCCGAACATTGTGCCTTTGAATAAAACGCTTTTGTAACGCAGCCTTGTTGTGTATCTCAATAAAATAATGATAGAAAAGTTGAGCTATGAAAGTAATTCAAAATAATAGTTTAAAGTTATGTTGTATAAATTTATTACTCTGTGAGAAGTTTATTTCAGTTAGTTTTGACAAAAACAAGGCAAAATCTAGTTTTTCAACATTGTAAAATATTACTTAAGACTAATAAAAGCTGTACGAAAGCATAAATGTACAGAATGTGTATAAACCTAGTGCTTAGTCTAGGTTTTTTTTCCCCATCCACTGACTTTCCTTCATTAAGCAGGAATCACTGCTTGACCAACCAGCTTTTTTACTTTCCAGGACATCAATAGTCTTCCCCTTGACAGTCCAGGACAACACATGATCATAATGTAACATTTCTGCAATTCAAAAATAACATCTTAACTGGTTTAATGAAAGATGCATCTTTCAGGAAATACATTTGGTTTTCAGAATTTTTCAAAAAAGAAACAGAAATAAACTATGCTTCACCAAGTGTAATGTGGATTTTTTTTTTGTTTTTAAGAATTTCTGAAATAAATCAACTTTTTCAGAATATTCCTGCTTTTTTATTATGCTCCTGTGCCTGTGACCAAAAGGTGGAGCCATCTGCTTAAAATGGACAAAACGACACAAAACAGATTAAATTACCTTTATTTCACCCAGATACTGTTAACATCACATCACCCCATGTTACTGCAGAACAATCACAGTTTTTGTCACATGAAACAGAAAATGACTTTTTACCCTCATGTCCATTTGAATCACTTTGGTTGTGATGCTTATTTTGGCTGAAATTTAAGGGTTAAACTTCCAAAACTTAAAAAAAGAGCCATCTGATGAAATGCAGCTTCAATCCATTTCAAATAAAGAAAGTTGTTGTTTCTTTGTTGTTGTTGTTTTTTTTTTTTTAAACTTTGTCATTCATTAATCAAAGATGAACAAGTTTTAAAGAGGTGCTGCATTTTGTTGCTTGTTTGTGCTTTTTTGAACCAACACAGCTGGGACTACATTCAGTTACCTCGGAGAAAAGAATAACCCTCACTTCATGTCAGCCAAGAACAGCTCCTAAAAACACCCACAGTCTAAAGTGAAGTTACTCACACCACAACCTACGCGAGGAGATCACAGAAAACATTAAAACACCATGAAGGGGAAGGGCTGCACAAGGATTGAATCGACGGTCATTTAGGAATGTAAACGTCTGTGGTAAATGGAGCACAATCTCACTGCATGCCTGGTCCTCAGAAATGTAGTTAAAGGTTTATTTTAAAGATTTGTTTGGGTAAATATTGCATGTAAGTTTCCTGGCGTCAAGTTAATCGTATATTCGTCTCTTATCCCTGATTTTAATAATGCTTAGGAATAGATCGCTGATGACAATAGTATTTTTGGGGGAAAAAAAGGAAAGAGAGGTCAAACACCCGGCAGTGTCCAAACACAGCTGTCGACTGAAAACAGGAGAAAAAAATAAATTACAAGACCAGCGAAAAACTGCTTGATCTGACTGAGGTTTGAAGTCAGATATACTATGAGCTCAAGCAACTGTAGAGTTGGTGTTTTATCTGTTAGTCTGGACAAAAGACAAAACGCTGAGCAGGAGACTGCTGCTGCTGCAGAGTTTTCACATTCCTCAGACTCGGCAGGATAAAATGATAAGTTAAAATGTCCACAAAGTCTTGAAAAGAAATCTCAGATTTCATTAATCCTTCTCTCGTGCATCTTTTCTCCAGTTTTATGCCTGAAAGCAGGAGGTATAAGCTCCCGAATGCATGTGCGAAAAGTCACAAGTTTTCAATGAGCTTCAATGTCTTTGATTGAGATTCTGATAGAGCAGCACTGAGTAGAACATAAACATGAAGTGGAAGGAAAGCGATGCACGGCCTTGAACATTTTTAATGAACAAAAACCCTATTTAGCCCTCTTTATTCCGATACCCCTGAATAAAATCTGAAGGAGTCACTTAATTACAAAATAAAGTCCCAATGTTTACCAACAGCATCAGAAGGAACAAAATCACAGCAGACAAGCCACATTTTGGAGATGCTGAAATAAACTTTAAGTTAGAAAACGTCTCCTAAATCCACCATCTGAAAATGAAAATAATATGGGACAACAACAGATCGAGCAGGGACAGCATCAATCACAGAAGAAATTTAATAGGCCAGTTTTTGGAGGAGCTGCGGATCCATAACTGTCGTCAAGGCAACTGTTGAAAGTTCACGTCACTAATCTGGCCTTTAAGAAAAAAATGATAAGAAGAAAGACATAAGAAGTTCTCTGTTGCTTCTTCAATGACACCAAGTGAGACAAGAAACTAGCACTTCTCTCATAGTTGAAGCATAGTGGTGGCAGCATCATGCAGTAGGTAAAGCCTGCATGATGCTGGATTACCCACTGCATCATGGGCAAGCCAGGGAATCTGCTTGCAGGGAATCTGCTTGCAGGGAATCTGCTGCAAGTTCACAGGTGGACAGAGCCTCAAGTCTAGAAAAAAAGATTGAGATGATGTTTTTCTGAGCGTTAAACATTCAGCCAGAGCGACAAAGAAACGATCTGAATCAAAGCCCATTCATTGCGACACAACGGTCCAGTCAAAGTCCAGACCTGTAGCGAACTGAGAATCTATGGCAAGGCTTGAAAATTGATGCTTAGAAAAGTCTCGACCTAATCTGAGTGAGCATGAGCTTTTCAGACTTTCATTTGCAAACGAATTTTAAAAAGCATGCATCATTTCTTTTCTTCCACTTCTCAATCATGTGCTACTTAGAATGAAACACACCAAAAGTTTGTGAGAAGAAACGTTTATCTAACCATCTCTATGCAATTGTTTCGTTTGACTAAGCATCCCCAGATTTGCAGAAAATTCAACAGAAATTATGCAACCCTCAAGAAATGTTAGGATGTGGCTGAGTAGAACCAAAAGATCATCTTCAGGATTTCCACCTGAGCAGTCAGTGGTTTGTTCGTGTGTGTCTGGCAAGCAGAATAAACAATATATTAAACATGAATTATTAAGACAGCAAATAGCACCATGTTGGCCCGTCATTGGCAGCAACCATCGCTACATCACGATTCTACGGGGCAAATCCCTTGAGAATCAGCTTAAGATAAACGATTAGATGTCGAGAGGCTCGTTTCAACGTATCCACTTTCCTAAAGGAACTCAGGTCAAGAGGCTGCAACTGCAGATAGATTTTTAAAAAAGCATCAGTACCAATTTGGCAAAAACAAAAAAAAAAACCTGCATGGTTTGAACCAGTGACAATGTAAGTGGGTTAAAAACGGTCTGCCAACCTGACATACAGCGATTCCTGGGATCAAACGAGCAACGAGTCACCAAACTAAACACTGCACAGAAGAAATGTTCACTTCAAACAAGTTCACACAGGTCACAACAAACCCGCTGGGAGGAACATTAAAGGGGCAGTACTAAGTAAAGTCGGCATGTTCTAGTGTCATTCCCTTCTCTCTCAACAACATACTTTTGAGTGTTCCCTTGATTCTTTCATGCATGTTTGAGAAATCCTTTAATTTCACAAACAGCGGTACAAAACACTTGCTCTCACAGTGATGTCTTTTCCACAAAGCTCCTCCAGCTGCAGTCTGCAAACCGAGCTTCCGGGGTACAAAGTACCCCTTCTCCACGACTTCCACACTCATCCCTTCAGACTAGCAGCAGCAGCAATTAGAAGACACCTGGTGGAACTGTGCATCTACTAAGCTCAACATAAGACCTACTTCTTCAGTGCAATTTTGGTAAGAAATGTTACGAAAGGCTTAATGGGAAAATGTAATGACTTCCTGAAGGCGGAGCAAGAGCAGGAGCTTCTTAAAGAGACACAGGCATGTTGTTGTCATGTCAAATTTCCTTCAAGTCACGTTGGATATAAACAGCATTTCTATAACAATGTAAGGTGACAGTTGCTTGATTATTCTTTGAAATGGCATAATACTGCCCCTTTAAATCATTTTATCAAGAACCTTTTTGCAAAAAAAAAAGAAAAAAAATCACATTGATAAAAGCAAATATTTGGCCCTGATTTATTTATTCTTTTAACAGAGACTGACTGTGACAGTGAGAGCTAAGATCTGGATGTGAATGTTGTAAATAAGACAAGAAAACCTAACGTTGGCACACTGAATGAGGAGAGTAGTCAGAGTGGCGAGGCCCGAGTCTGCAGCTGACCTATGGCAGTGTTTGGATGTGCGCTCATAGCCCTTTGTTGAAGAAGACCCGCTCCACTCCTGGGTGGCTGGCCCGGATTTTCTCCTGCAGCTCTGGCTCCAAGCGGCTGACGGACATGGAGCTGGATCGGACGGGGAGGGAAGAGTTAACGTGGCTCAGATTGAGTTTCGGCGGCGGCGACGCTTATCGGAGCACAGTTATAAACTCACTCACCTCTTCTGGGGGAACAATGCGCAGCACAAAGGAGTGGCAAACACCAGGCTGAACAGGAAACAACAAGACAATAAATGTGGTTGTGCTATCAGAGTGAGCTGTTACACAAGTGTACCATATAGGGCACAAAAGATTTGCCCTTGCAGTCCTGATAAAAAGAAAGTACACCCTCTTTCAATTTAAAAGATTTACAGAAAGATTTATAGTGATGATTTGGTCCAAAACATTCAACTGATTCTACTAAAAATGAAACGAAAAATAAAAAGCGCTGTCAAAAAGTAAGAAGGCCCTTACTGCTTCCATGGGATTTATGAGGAAAGGTAGTGGCCATCATTCTACGGTGAGAAAGATTACTCTCAAGAGGGAAAACAGGTGAGAGTGTCCCCAGGAGTGGCCATCTTAGCACAGGCTCCTTAGATTCTTGTTTCATAGTTTCAAGATGGCGACACAACTTATGATTGCAAAGCTGCATCTGAATGAACCGCAGGACTTCTGGAACAATGTCCTTTGAACAGAGCTTTTGAGCTCTGTTCCGTATTCCGTGCCCCGTATTTACCATATCAATTTTTTGATATGGTAAATATGTTTGACCATAACAATGCCAAACAAAAATGGAAACCTCTGTTCACGCTAACTGTCAAGCACGGTGGTGTCATGATTCGCGTTTGTTTTGAGGTCTGCTGTCTCACAGCGGATGCTTAGAAGAAAGCTCACTTATGTATTTAGTTATTGATACACAGGTTCTCCAGTTTTGTTGTACGTTTTTGTAATTTTTATGTCTTATACTTAAACCCTGGTGCTTAAAATGGGGCGTGCTGGCCGTAGTTTTGACTTGAACCTCTGAAGAGATGTGCAGATGAATAATTTTTCAAAAGAGGAATCAAAGCATTTTATCTAAACTCCTTCTGGTCTCAGTTTACTGCTTCAATCCTGGGATTATGGTGATCCAATGTCTCTGCTGCAAGAAATTAGGTTGATGTTTGAGAGGACTCTGATGAGAGCTTATCAGGTGGGCCATCTCTGACCACTCACCAGAAGCCCACCAGGCCGACTTGAATGGGTGCACTCATCCATGGAAACCTCTGAAAAGACAAGGCAGAAAAATGACCGAGGCACACAAAGGCAGCGGGGAACTCCCATACAAGAGCGGTCTCCGCTCTTTTCATTCCTCTGCCGGGTCGAGGCTGAAAGGGGGCCAACTTCAACCGACTGTTTAGCTTCACGGGAGCGCCGCCGTTTATCTTGAAGAGTGCAGCTCGTGCTTACCTTCAGGAAAGCCTTCTTTTCCAGGTGATTCATTAAAAATGGAGGGATGGCTGGGAAGAGACCAACGAAGCGTGACTTCACAGAGCGTGCAGCTCAGATTGTTAATATAAAATCTGACCAAACAGAGAGGTTCATACCCATTCCTGGAGACGCCATGAGGATCCTGGAGACCACGACCTGAGAGATAGCCTGCTGAGCAGCTTTTGTCGACTCTCCTAACCTGTTGTCATTTTCGTCTGTTATGGGAATCCCATGTTGAAGTTCTCTGCAGACAAATCAACCAATCAAGCTTCGTTTATGCAGCACCTCTCATTAAATGCTGTGATAGAAAATGACTGTCAAGTTGATTAGCTTCTAGACACTTTGATTTCATGTCTGTCTGGTCAGAAATAAATCTGACCAAACACACACAGTGAGGAGGATGGCATCAGACCAATAGAAACATCTTACTTCAGAAATTAGAGCCTTATGTCTACTGAGACATTGTCATTTTCAAAAGCTACTTTAAAGCTACTTTTCAAAAGCCTCATCAGGACACATGCTTCTTCTTTATTGAATACATCCGAACCAGGAGCTCGGAAGTGATGCTGTTCTACAACAAGGCTAAGTCAGCACATTTCCGTTCACCACCCATCCTTACCTTTGTCTCATCAGTGGGATGTTGATGCAGTTAGCAGCTGCAACAGCAGCAAACGGAACGAACCGTCCGATCAGCGGAGACACGTGCTGCAGGAGAGCAAAAAACAGGAGACAGATTCATCCCACCGCTTCGTCTCTGAGGCTGGACTTGAAGCTTTCCCCATCACACAGCAGCATGTCCATCAAAGAGTCAACACAAGAGCTGCCATTATAAAGGGATGTGTTACGGGGTTAGATAAAGTGGTACCTTTGTTAGTGCGTTTAGTCCTAGAGCGGTGGCGACTGCCCCTGTGGTAGCAGAGACATAAGCTGTGCCAAGCTGACTGCAAACAGAAAAGTCGCATTAAAACCAAAGCGGTCCGCACAGGAGCGTCTAAATTAAAGGGTTAATCCATACGTGGCTGAGTCCGAGCTGCAGCTGCTGCCTCCTACCTGACTGTGATTGGAGCGTCACCGCTCCTGTTGGTGTAGTTCACTATTGCATTGAAGGACTGATTGATCCACTGCCAGAACAGCACAGCAGGAGTTGTCCTGTGAGAAGAAGAACACAAGTTGTCAGCGTTTAACTTCAACATAAAATCAGCACTCACTGATGTTCTTGTTGGAAAGTGTTTTGGGGTGTGTTTTTACCAGTTCAAAAAACGATTTTTTAAATTTTTTTTGCAAATACCTCATTTTCAGTCAGAGTGAATGCAGCAGACTCTCAAATGGATTTTGGTCTAAACTTTGACTGGGCCATTCTTAAACAATTAATACGCTTTGATGTAAGGCATGTTATTGTATTTCTGGCTGTACGTTGAGGGCTGTTACCTTGCATGTGCAAGGGGTCAACCTCCACCCTGGCTAGTGGCAAACTCCAAAAGCTCCTTTATAGCTACTTTTCAAAAGCCTCATCAGGACACATGCTTCTTCTTTATTGAATACATCCAAACCAGGAGCTTCTGTCCTCCTTTCAAGAACTGCTTTCTTCATGCCACTCTTCCATGAAAGCCAGACTTGTAGAGAGCACAGAGGATGTTTCTCTTGGTTATCCTACCTGAGTTGTGGATCCATGCTGCTCTTTCAGTCAGTGGACCACTGGTCTACTGTCTGGATTTCTAATCAATGATCTCCTTAGCGTAGATTTTAAGTGTTGCCATAATCTTCTCATATGTAGAAAGTATTCAGAACAGTCCTTACCTAGGTGTTTTATAACTTCTTTATTTATCTCTGATCTGTCTGCTGTATTCCTCTGTCTTTACGATGCTGTTTGTTCACCAAAGTTTTGTAATGTAGCAAAATGTGGGAAAAAAAAAGATAAAGTGGTATGAATAGCTCTGCAAGGCACTGAATAAGCAACAGATCAGAAAACGTCCCAACAATGTTCACCAAGTCATGAGGTGTGTGCAGGTCTTACTTATAAAACGTCATCATACACCCAGTGATCGTCATGTTCATGGGAACCTGAGCCGACATGCGGCCAATCAGAATCATCTTCTCCTCGGTGTCGGGATGAAAGGCCGAGTCGAAAACATATTTGGCCCTCCACAGTTCATCCTCCGTCAGACCCGGCGAGGCGATGCCTTTTCTGCGAGATCGAGAACATGTGAGCAAATCTTCCCAGAGTCGCTCCTTGTTCCTGCTGAACTGCTCTACCTGTAGTCAGTGATGATTGAATGCGCATGTGAGAGTTGTTCGTTGGTCAGGAGAATGTTCCTCGGGTCTGTGACGGTGAAGAAATGTTTGGCTCGACCAATGAACGTGCTCTGGTCCCACCGGGGCTCCTTGATGTTTATGGAGGTTGATAGCTCGGCTGCCATGTTTATCTACAGAGAGAAATGGGGAAAACGATGAAAGGTGTTAGCGGGTGCCGGGCCTCCCTCCAGCAAAAACGACTTCTATTTGGGGGAAAGAAGTCAGGGAAGTAGTACTAGGGAGATACAATGCTCCTTTCAGTTCAGCATAATGTTGCCATGCCAATGGCCAGACTTGGCACAAGGATTGTTAGGCATCCAGCCATGAGTGCAACAAAAGGGCAAATCTCAAACCGACACTCACCAGCAGTTTGCAGAAAGTCTTAAAGGGATTGGAGGATTTACATCAGCAAATCAGACCCTGCTGAGTGTAGAAAGTGTGCTTCTAGTCACGTAACTTTGCATTTTATGAAAGAAAAAGTTCTTTCACAATATGACAGCAAATAAGACTGCAAAGTCAAACAGAGAAGAGAGAATTGTTAGAGATGTGCAAGGCAGGAGGCTCATTATTCCGAGTAAAGGTTGTTATAATCACTAGCGTGATGATTGGGGCCAAAGCGACGACGAGAAACTTTCAAACTCTTCGTAAGCAAAGATACTGAGTAATTCTGATGATGCTGCTGCTTTGCAACACAGCTAGTTGCTACAGGAAGTGAGAAAAGTGTCGGTTTGAAACACCATAGAAGTTTGATTGAGGTGTGCTCTAGATTTGGCAACCAACTAGGCAGAAAGAGTCGCAGGAAAACAAAATGCATCTTTGCTGCTTCCAAGGAACTTAAAGCCAAAATAAGCAGGCAGACATTGACCCATCTGAGTAATATGGATCTATAAAAGCGGGAGGTCGGGAGAACAAAGTGTCACAATGACCAAGTCAAAGCCCAGTCTTGACTGGTGGGACCTTAAGGGAGTTTTGGATAAAACAACATGACGATCTCATTAAATGGACATGATGTTGTAAAGTGACTTAAAGTTCCTACTGCTAAAGATGGTGGTAGTACGAGTCATGAATGACAGGGTGCATTCAGGCATTTCACCACTAGCGTTAGTGCAGTGTCAGCAGTTTTTAGTTTTATATTTGTTGTTAGGTTTCGTGGTGACACACACTGCCAGTGTTAAAATAGCAAAGTTCTAATGATTTGGTATATTTCCCTGCCATTTCTGGGCATTAGTGTGTTTTTTTATTCTTTTCTTTTTTGCTGGTGCATGCTGGTCATGCACCAGCATGAAACCCCGGTGAGATGTTGCATCATTTGGACAAAAGAGGGGAAGAAGCCAGCATCGTGACAGCCAGCTGCAAGAACTTAAGCATTTAACTGCTTCATGAAGTTGCTCCTGTGTGCCATGCTGTGTTGTACAGAAGGAATGCCGACTCTTCATATTGAATTAAAGGTTCAGGACATTAAATAACTGTTCTGGACAGCCGGTTGCAGGACACTTCACTTAAATGTAGAACAAACATTGACTGATATGTTGATGGCATTAATCTGATGCTGAGAGTGACATATTAATGTGACATGAGAGCACTGAACTTTGTTCACCGTTGGTCTTTTAATCTGCAGACCCTGAGCTGCTTCTGCCCTCCCTCTCAGCCAATCACAGGGAGCCTTCGTGGCTACACATTAACCTGAAGTTCACAGCGACTCGAGACGCATTAATCACATAATGAACACAAGCAGCATCACAGGGGATACACAGCATGACAAGTGGCTTTCTGCTGTTTATATGCTGCAGCTTTCTGTCAGTGGTCGCAAGGTGAACAAGTTGGATACACTCATTGCCCAACGATGCTGAAGTTGGCGTCTGATTAGAAGTGTTGGCTTCTACTCGTCGTTAAAGGGCTATTCCGCTACATATAACCTGTCCAGACTGCATTAAACTCATGATAGTTAGAAATATTACATATTGGTGACTTTATTGTGTGTTTATGATGTTTTTATGTTTTTCTGATCTAAAGCACTTTGAACTACACTGTTGCTGAAGTGATATATAAATAACAATTGATTGATCGATTGATTGATTGATCGATTGGTTGATTGATCGATCGATCGATTGATTGATTGATTGAACTTGAATTGCATGGGTCTATAAAACCTACTTTATATTTGATGAAAATCTGTTATTGTTTTTGCAAGTTGCTGTTTTTTTTAATCATTATTATCAAGAATTGTTATATGGAATCTGTTATGTGTGAAACAACTTTTTGTCATTTCCCAATTTGAGTTGGAGTTCTTTTCAAACTTTGCAAAGTGGTCTCAGGACCAAAATGTTACCTCGCAATTTTCTAGAGGGCGATTATGCTAATAACTTTGTCTGGATTTGACCTGGTAAGATTCTGTCAAACTGGACCAATCGTGACATGATCCTGAGATGAATAAGTCATAACTCAAATTGAAGAGTTTTACAAACACAAGCTACATGCTCCTGAATCTGCAATCACTACAAAAGTAATTCTGTGAAATGTCTGATCGAATGTAGTACTTTTAAAACAGCATACCTCAAAATGTGATTAAGAAACAAGAAAGCAAAACAACACTTCCTTGATTCATTACAATTTGAATAAAGGTTGCACAAACTGTACTTTATAGAATTTGTCATTAGTGTAGAAGGTGGTGTACCTTTCAAGCTAGACTTTAAATAAGATAAACTTTTATAGGCACAAAAAAGCCATAACTTTTCTCTTTTGGAGTTTTCATTAATCGAATAACGATTTCCAAAATCAGAAACTATTTTACAAACTCTGCATAGTTTTGATCTCTGTATTTTGTAACTTGTATGACAGAAGATTAACTCCATAAAATCCCGTGAAGACCAAAAAAAAAAAAAAAATCATGAAACTGCTCCTTCTTGAGTATTCACAAATCGAATAACGATTCCAAAAGAATAACAAATGTTTTATAGAATATTTAAAGAGTGCAAAATATTCTATAAAACATTTGTTATTCTTTTGGAATCGTTATTCGATTTGTGAATCCAAATAAATTCAGGTTAAAGTTGACCATTCTGAATAATTCAGATTTAAAACTAGGACCGGACAGGTTAAATTAGCAGAATTGCCCTTTAGTCAAAGTGCCGTATCCGACAGCTGCGAATCGGATGCCTACTTCAGCGTCTTAACCAACCAGACATGGACCAGTCAGATCTGGACTGCAGCTGGAGCTGAGAGAACATCTGGAAGAACAACAAGCACAAAGCCTCTTCTAGTCCACCAGACCCAGAGCGTCCACGTTCCAAGCAAAAAAAAAACAATAAGGAACCACATCTGTCAGAAGCCAGCCATCATCCAGCTGTGAGACGCTCCAGATTCAACTAGTAACCAGCAGGCATGAATGAGGAGCCACGACGTCTGATTTGAGTCCCCTCCGGTCGGAGGAAGCGGGGATCCTCTCTGCGGATCCAAATCAGAGAAATGCACAGGTTACTTACTGCACTGTGGGCTCCGGGAGTCTTTGCGTATCTGTGCGTGTGTGTGTTTGTGTGAGGGAAAGAGAGGGTGGCCCTAACTGGCTGCAGCCAGCTAATTTTACACGCAGCAGCGTCAGTACAGCAGAGAACACGGAAACACTCCACGGGAAAATAAACGTGGAAAACACGCTTTTATATGCTTTCAAAAATAAATAAATAAAACAGGCGTTGAACCTTCCTTTCTTTTAAATGAAATGCGATATTTAGAGAAAACATTATGCGACCGAGAATGCCTCGGATCACTTCGTTTTTGACACCGAGGCTTTTACTTTGTAGACATCAACTTCCGCTAAATCTGTAGCTTCGCTGCGAAATTTATTTTCAAGGCAGCGAATCATTAATGCGTTAAAACTTTACGAAATCCACACACCTGTGCGATTTTATTTTATGGCAGCAATACGCGAACACCAATGCTGAGGTGACAAATCCTAGAATAAAAGCCATTTTAGCTCATAACATAAATAACAGTTGAATTAAAATATATAATGGAAACAGTAAAAGTAATGGCAATAAAAATATCCATGTGGTTTTGTGCAAAGTACAAGAGACAGACAAGATATGTTGTAAAAATCAATTAAATCAACTAGTTTGACTCACTCTGGCCATCACCGCGACGGTGATCAGCGAAATACAATAGGAGCTCTGTCTCCATCTAGTGGTGACTTTGAGATGGTGACTCTAATTTCGACCGAGATTTATCTGGGCCTACGTCAAGAACAACGAGTACAAACAGCAGGTCCACTAACAAATGTAAATATTTTCCTCATTTCGCATATGTCTGATTGCAAATAAACAGTTGTAAAATTTGTTTTGGGATATTTTTGATGTATCATCTTTTATGTAAACGTAAATTAGGAAAAGAATGTCTCAGTTGAATACATTCAACTGGACAGGAGAAAGAACCCAACATCGCAATTTTCCTCTGGCTAAAAAATATTGTTACAAAAATAAGAGCTTGGGAAGAGGAGGATAGTGATGTCTGGATGTTTTTTATAGTTATTACCCTCAAGAAAAATCTACAAACTCTACAATTCTGAAATATTTAGGTATACTTATCAGTCCACACCAACTATACTTGTAGATCAGAGTACCAGAATTAAAATGTTTCCTTAACAAGCATAAAACATCAACATTACACAAAGCTGTACAGGTTCCAATTGCAAGTGGGAAAGCCAGTGAAATTTGCGCCAAGTTGTAGTAAGAAGTTAGGAATATAAAACAATGATTCGTTTATCTCCTTTTCATGTGTTCAAACATCAAAAGAACATGTTCATATTTGGGTGTCGTAAAGTTATATGTCTGTTTTGTCAAGTGGAAAAACATTTTTTGGAAGTCTTCAGAAATCATTACATGTGCAACTTTTATTACATTTTTTACTGTATGTCCAGCAGCTATACTTGATACTGAGACCTCTGTTGTTGAATTTTCCAACTCTGAACTTGAAAAATCTGATCTCCAAGCAGAAAGCGAATGCACCGTCACTGTTGAGGGAGAGAGGGGTTTGCCAAACTCTTTATTTTAGATAGCTTTGGCTGAAAAACATTAAGTTGCACTACACAAGTAAGATTGTTTGCAGCAGTAATGCAGGTTTAAATAAATACATTGTGATAACAGAAGCAAAGCTACTTGAAACAGTATAAAAAGAACATTCTTCCAATGCAATGCAGCAAAAAGAAAAAAAAAAAAAGAAGAAAGAAAGCAAATACAAAAGTGTAAATAGGTCATACACAATTCTGGCTTTTAGCCTTATTATTCTACTTCCAGAATACGCTGTTGTACTTTGGCAACAAAATAATACCCATAATGCTCTCACTGCTTTCTTGTATATGAGGTCATGCCAAATACAGGATGCAGTTTAAAGACCTTATTTGGTCAAACAGTCTAACTCGTCATCAGTAATATTTTTTATTTCCGGATATACCAGCAGGTAGTGTAACAGTACAGTAAAGAGTAGCAATCATTCCAAGCACTTAATTCATGCACAGACAGGTAAAAATCAAGAAGAAGTTGTGTGTGAAAGTCAATATCATGGCACAAGGCCTGTGTACCCCCACAGTCTCCTTTTCTTCCGCCTCTGTGCAGCCTCCCCTCGTGTTGCTTACAGGAAGTAGTCTGGTGTGCGCCTCGTCACATGGGGCTCTCCTCTGCGAGGCGCAGGGTCAAACTGGAGGCTAAAGGATGCATCAGACCTAATCATTATTTATTCATGTATTTTGCATTTGCAAAACAGCAGAGTTCCACTAGAATATTTGGATTTAGAAGAGAAACTGCACTTACAAGGAGTATTTCAGGGTATCATCGAGCTCCATGATTGCTGCCTGGTTTCCACAACGATAACAGTAATTTGGTGCACTGAAAATTGTCACTACGTTGCGGTCGTGGCACCAATTAAAACCCTGGATCAAGAGATAAGCTCAGTGTTACTAACTGCTGGGGCCATAAATGGTGTTTAAGATGCAATCCTGTTTCCATGGCTGTTTAGACATGGGCATGGTTATCTGTAAGAATCTGGAACATGACTAGGAGCTAAGAACTATTCAAACATATTTATGTTTCCCAATAAACTGAATGCAAAGGCCTGCTTAACCAGTTGGGGTTGAATCTCAGATCAATGCGCGTGTTGTTTGAAGAGAATCTCATGGTCTTTATGTCTAAATTTAGGACATGTTTCTTATTGTTCAGTGAGCAGTGAAAGTCACAGTACCTCCATCACCAGCTGGTGGGCTCTTGAAACTAAAGTTAAGCCGTTTGCATGGTTGAAAGTCTCAGATATATCCTGGCCAAATGTGTAGCCGGCACCACGAGGTGAGATTCCCCAGCCACCGCGGTCATCTGGGTCAGACCATAACAGGTCACACATAGGACCCTAAGACATGGAGCAAAGTGTCGATGTTGGTGGAACATCCCTGACTTTATACATCACTCTCTACTCTTTAATAATAGTTTTGAACCTACAGAAACATTACTCCTCTCTACATACTCTGCCCAGCCTCTTTTTGGATGTTTCACGACTTGAATACATTTGATTCAAATTAATTGTTCTTTTATGAAATCTTTGTAGACGTTGATGACATGCTAACAATGTAATTCATCCATTTCAATTTGAAAAACAAGGACTATTAACAACTGGAAGTGGATTTTAGAGCTTCAGATGGACCAGAATGCTGGGTTCTCTCTTTTGCTTTTTCTCCTTCAACTCCTCAGGATTTCTTTGGGATTTAAGTCTGAGGACTGAAATAGCCAAGGAAGACTGATTAGTGGTTGGCAAGGTTTTCCTCTGAGATAACTCAGAGGTAATATGTGTCCAATGCGTACTCCAAAACGAAGTCTAGGATAATTCTGGATCAGCAGAGACGGCCATATCAACATGGCCAAGTGCCAATGCTACATGCACATCTGAATTTGTTTATTTCCTGCCATGTGTCTTTGCAAATACGGCTGATATAGAAAATATGTAATGCCAGCCATTGGTTTAAATTGCTATGGGGTGAGTGTACCTCATGAGGAACCTCCTGTAACCGATCCAGTGCTCTGATGTGCTCCAGAGTGTCTATAGAAGGGGACAATCCTCCATGAAGGCAGAAAATCTTAAAGAGAGGAACGTAAAAATACATGAGTCTTTATTTTTGGTTTTTACTTAACTCTAAGTACTCTCCTCTACAGTACTCCATGTTCACAGCCTTACCTGGTTATCTACTAGTGCAGTGAGGGGCAGATAGTCAAAAAGGTCTGTGAAGTACTTCCAAACATTAGCGTTTCCATACTTCCTCAGGCACTCATCATAGAAACCATACACTTGCGTGATCTGTCTACTCTCATGGTTCCCTCTGAGAATTGTGATTCTTTCAGGAAATCGCACCTTTTCAAACAGAAAACAATGCACTTTCAAAGGGTTCATAGACATTTTTTTTATGACAAGATTAAGTTGCAGACTCATCTTCCCAGCGTTCAGAAACAGTTTCTCCAATAACATTAAGAAAATTGAAGAAGAAAAAAAACAATTTTTATAGCAATTAGGCTTTAAATATGCATTAATGTTAGAAGTTTAACCTTTAAAGAAACCAGCAGTGTTACTGTCTCCACAGAGTAGTAGCCTCTGTCAACATAGTCCCCCATGAAGAGGTAGTTGGTGTCTGGAGACTTCCCTCCGATCTTGAACAGCTCCATGAGGTCATGAAACTGCCCGTGGACATCTCCACAGACAGTCACCGGACATCTCACCTCCTGTACATTGGACTCCCTTGTAAGAATTTCTTTGGCCTGGAACAAAGAGCCGAGAGAAACCCAAGATCGTACTGGTACCTCCACAGAAACCAGTGATCCACTTCACATGCGGAAAGCAAGTAGTGACAAAGAGCAAAAGACATGTAACCGTACTTGAAACATAAGATAAAAGAGAAAGAGAAAATTGGCAGTTTATGCACAGCAGTACCATCTCCCCGCTCATGTATATAAAAGCAATAGAAAACTTGTTCAAGGTGCAACTGATTTCTTATTTTTATTTCTCATCATTTGTTTTCGTCCTCATGCTTCCCCATCTAATGCTGACCTGGGCAATTGTCACGTCAAAAATCCACTGATGGTGGAATCATAGGCGCTATGAACAAGACATGGAGAAACCAATAGCTGTGCTCATCTTCCAGATCGTGCAGCAGGTCATTCCTGAGACTGCCAGAGGCGTTTAGTGAAGGTACCAGCATGCAAAACAAACTGAAGGCACTTCTCCACGTTCGAGTGGCATCGCTCGAACATGGAGGCTGCAGTCAAGTGGTTTTTGTTGTTGCGGAAAAATAAGCCAGATATTGAAGAGACGTGCCAGCTAGCTGCCCGCTAGCCGTCAAGTCAGCCTATAAACATTGGCGCTATTTACCTTCTCGCACAGGAGCTTAACCTGGTTCTCTGTTAGCTGCTTGCACTCGTTCAGCTGTTCGATCCAGCCATCCACCTCCTTGGTGAACGATTTGTCGTCCATGCTTGTCAGCCTGCAAGCCGGCCAGCCTTAAGGAGACCCGGTGGGTGTGTTGTGACCGCTCTGCGTCTCCCAGCAGGTGGTGGAGGAGACGGAGGA